GTACCGTAAGGCAGTGAATCGAAAAGCCAACAAAAAAGGTATCTCGTGATATTTCGGTTAAATCATTTTTTTCTTCTGGTGGAAAACGTCGTCCGTGTTTTTATAAAACGACGAAATTGTGAAATCGTCAGTTTTCCTGTTTTTCCCCCGCTTAAGTGCATTCATTTCAAAAATGGCGTCGAAAATCGAAAAAAAAAAACGACATCTTTAGAGTACCGTCTAGACACAACTTGAGCTCTCGGAAAAGTTGCCACACTTATACACCGGAGCATGTTTATCAGGAAAAAAAACGTGTCCGCAGACTAGGAGAAAGGAAAAAAAATAAATAAACATCTTAGTAAAACCGATAGCCGCTCGTTACGCTCGGAATCTAAAACGAAATTAAAACGTGGGCACACTACTTACAACCGGTGCGGTCGGAAAGTCGGGAAGATCGCATAGGGTACAGGGCACGGTGTAACACGCAGCAGGAGGCTAACGATAAAGCCGTCGCAATCGAAAATCGGTTCCGGGCGGAGCACGGAAAACTGCAGTTAACGTTACAGCAGAATTCTGCCGGGCCCCGGTCAATCACACTTTTAACGCGTTTTGGGAAATCGACAATCAAACACGTTTTCGGGCCTTCTCGACAGCGCACAGTTTTTCCAACAACGTCGGTCCCCGCTCACATATCACAATAATGGTTACCGAAACACGCCCGCTGTTACCGCCAGAAAAAACATATGGAATTTTGTACGACTGGCCATCGACACACGACAACTCGTTTTCGGCGAAAAAAAAAAAAAAAAAAAAATGGCACCGGCCCTTTTCGACCCGGGCCCCGGGACTGTGAGTCACGCGAGACTAACGGTCGGGTGTCGGACTATCGGAGTGTTTTCAATGACCCGGCTGGGGGGGGGGGGTTTCTTCGATAAAGCGCATCCGAGTGAAACGCAGAACCACGCCAAAAATGGTTCCCGCAATCTCACGGTCGCGTTATCCGTTCGGTTTTGGTCTTATAATTAATTGCCGAGAGGAAAAATAATCAAAAAAAAAAAAAAAACTCCCGTCAATTATTTGTGTATGTGCGTATAGGTCACCCACCCGTTTTCAACCGAATCGATTTTGAATATCTCTAACGCGGTATTCTTGCAATCGGGAAAAATTATAATTCCGTAACGGTCGTTTGTTGTTGTAAAACGCCGCGGACACGGTAATATGATAATTTAGATTATCTAATTACGATGCGCCGGGCCCGGCGCAAACCGGAATCGGTTTTGGATGATATTGTGCCGCACCGCGGGCTCTCACAACGTAAACGCTCGTCTGCTGTCCGAATTATTTTCATCCGACGTTCCTCATCGAATTTGAAAATCCGACGTTTTTTCTCTTCAAACGTCGGCCGCGACGATTTTATACCGGGTACTCCGTACGTACGCGGTACGTCGGGCGCCCGCGCCCGATCGGACAAAACGGACCGATTAATTCAGCGGGTATTTCGCGTACAACACGTGCCCGCGTTAGTTTATAGTTTATTTTTTTAATTTTTTTGTCCACGAACGTTTTAAATCCGCCGGACGACTCTCGACTGATCGTACACCGTGTTATTATTATTACGGTTATTCGCGCAGGCCACCGAACACTCGGCGGCAGCGTTTACCGCACCGCGCCGTCAACGACCGGACTGCTGCCGCGGCGGTCGAATTCTTAATAGGCGCGCGTTATACCGCCACGATTATTATCGCGGTCCAACGTCATTTCGTTAGCGATAACATTGCGATAAAAATTTTAACATCGGGTAGGCAGGCGCACGCAGATACTGCCCCGGCCAGGTACAGAGGTATGTATTTCAACGTCAACGATCATCTCGATCGGAGAACATTATCCGGAGAGCAAGAAAAAAAAAAATAATAATAATAATACGCAGGTAGCCACAGATGTTATAAAATCCGTAGCAAATATCCGTCGACGGGTATACCGCACGTGTATTCATGTTCCGGGATACGGCGGCCCCGCCTGTAAATGATAATAACGTTCGACGACAAAACTCGTGCACGGAACAGCCTCGCGGTCCCGTGCCTATGAAATACAACAGTGCACGCACGAATATCCGCGAGGATGCGACGCGATGCGGAATGGCCTGTACCGAATTTCCGACGCGCGCAACAACCGCGCCGGAGAAAATAGTCATCGTGTATCCCCGTATCCGCGGTGCTTGCGTGCCCGTCGAAATGCCGTAGCGTTTCTGTTGTATCCGTTTTTTTTTATTCTCATTATTGATACGACAACGCTGTACGGGCGTACGCATACCTGCGGCCGACGAATTGTTAACGGATATTATTGTACCGTCGAATCAATTGAAATAATTGTGTGTATCCACAGGACGCGAACGGCAAGTAAAACGAAAAGGGGAAGCGAGAATGGGGGGGGGGGCGGGTCGCGGGTTGAAACAACGATAGTCCGCGGAATCAGGCGACCGAAGGGCTACGGGGTAGGCCGAAGCTGCTACGTTGGGAAGACGGGCATTTTCAAGAGCACATCTCCGGTGAGCAACGACAAAGCGTGTGTACAAAGCGTGTAGGTAGTGGAACCATCTAAACGGCCATGAAAAATAAACGATATATTTTGTTACCAAAAAAAAAAAACCTCAATTTTACTTATACAACATGTCCACCAACCCGTTGTCAATTATTATATCGACGGTTTTCAAAATGGGAATTTATAAACTTATAGTAGGTACCTACATAAATTACACAATCTTAGCGTGTAAAACGTACCCACCCATACCTACGTAATTCGTAATCGTCCTGATCATTGCGTTGTTAAAACGGGACGTTAATAGTGAAACAGTGTACGCCCTGAGAGTACATAAGATCCATCCGCGAGTCTTGGTACGCGGTCCACGGAGTCTAGGCCCGTTATAACATTAAACCCTAACGTCGAAAGACAGTATTGAATGAATCAGCAAACGGAAACTGTAATTATTGTAATAATAAAATTGAATAAATCAGCAAACGGAAACTGTAATTAATGTAATAATAAAATTGAATAAAACGAAGAACATTGAATCTGATGGTGCTTTCAGAGATGGCCGTCGGTTACTCAATTTGTCTGTTATAGTAAACAAATCCTAATATTTCGACTCTTCCCCCATCACGGATATTGTTTTTTTTTTTTTTTTTATCCGACACAATTTTTCAAATATGAGAGGAGTTTCAGAATTGATGGTGAACCCAATTTGTTCAATTAAAAACATTAAAAACCTCGAAATCAGTGTGGCGCACAAAATAACGTGAGGGTTATGCGCGCTATGTGGAGACTAAATTTTATTTCAACGGTACCTAATATGTAGGTATGTTGTTATTATTATTATTATTATGCACTCAAATAGTAAGTACGCGATTTGGATTCTGGTTGTACACAGTTGGATTAACCACGAATTCCAGATATAACGAGGAAAATCAAAAAACGAAACATTTTTATCCGTCAACTGGATAAAATTTTCTTTCGGAAAAGATACTACACTTGAAACATAAAATTGTCTACTTATATAATATCATATTAATTAATTTAGAAAACCGACTACGTAATGGCATTATATATGTATCAATTAACATATCATAATTTATATTTTACAGGTAGATCATTCTTAAAAAAACAAATTTTTTTTCAAAAAAAAAAGTTAAAAACTAATTCAATTAAAATATTACTATTTTTTATTTCTTAGACTTGATAATTAAATACATGAAAAATTGTACGGTTTCAAATAAATACAATTATGAATATTGTACAATATTCGAACGCACCTCTAGGGTTATTTTCATGCAGTATACAGTGTACCCTTTTAGACATCTTTTATGGGCAAATTACTTTTGCATTTATTACATCATGATATAATTTTCAACAACAGTATTAGTACTAACTTTCATACGAGTTTTGCATTGTCGAGATCAAATGAATGTTTAATTACATACACTACAGGAGTAAGGATTGTTAACAATATTCATTTTTTTTTTTTTTATAGATGTTTATATTGGATAATTAAAAGATTTTTCACACAAACGACACATCAGTGAGGTAATATTTATTATGTTTTTTTTTATGGAAGTTCAAACTGGATTTATGATAGAATTTCTCCACACAGACATGACTTTGCTGACATCTATCTTGATTCCCTGCTATGAACTGTTGTATTATCTTATAAATAGCATACCAAAGAAAATTTCATCTTGCAAAATTCACAGTGCAAAGATATTCCTGTGTATATTTTTTTGATTATCGGTAATGTTCTTTTCTACTATGAATTTTTTCATAGACTTAAATTATAAATTGGAAAAAATGTGTTCATTTAAAAATCACATTTTAAAGATTTTTCCTCGCTATGAATTCTTTTACATCTTCAAGGCTGGTTTTTTGAGAAAATTTCTCTTTGTGAAAATCAAATTAGAATGATTTATTTCACTATAAACTTAGATATGCTTAAAATACCTTTAGTGTTGAATAAAAATATTGTCTTTTGTGAATAATCCAGTCGTTGAAATAATTATAGATCTAATTTAAAATGAGTAAGTAGAGCGTTGTATGATTAAGTTTAGATAATATTTGTCACATTCTAATTAGAACATGGTTGCATTTGATTGAAAGTTGAAATAGCTGAAGAGCTTGTCACACCTAGATATTTGCGAGGCGTCGATGTAATTAATCCTGTATACAATAATAATGTGGGGTGTAAGTTTGCATGCACCACTCAGGCCACTGCTGCTTACCTGCTTGACAGCATAAAACAGGTATTACGAACTAGAAATGAAACAGACTTCAACAACGCGTACTCCTGTAATATGCTGGGCAACCGGCAATTAATGTCAGTTTAAGACCCGTTCTCAAGACCAATCGTGGTCAGTTATTAGCCATAAACTCTGTTTAAGAATCAGATAAACACTTCTTTTTTACGTTGGTGAGAACAGCCATAAATGATGGTGGAGTGAGAGCTGATGTTTTACACCGCATTTTATCAACAACTTTTAGACTGCATAATAGTTTGTCATTAGCTCGATCAGATTATGTGCTATCGTCGCTGCTTCAGAATCGAACGAATGGTAGTTTGCCTGCGATGGTCAATGTACGTAATTTGGATCCCGACAATGTTGTAAACATGAAATTTACTTATAATTAGAGCTCGAAGAATATTGCATTTGCAACTCTTTTTCTATTATTCAGATTTATTGCTAAGTTTTAAATTCGTTCCAGTACGAATCTAAAAATTTGTAGTGCAACTTTTTTCGATTCGTTTGCAATTTTATTGATTTTCCTAATTTATGATACTTTTAAATATTCACTTGATTTAACTTTTTTTTTACGTTAGAAATAAATCTACAGTATCTTCGAGCGATAGCAATAAATCTAATACAAAGCCAAATGTATTATAATCTCAGTGAATAAAAAACAAAAAAATAATATTAAAAACTGTGACCTGTTCTGATAATCATCCAAAACTTTCCTTATTGTGTTTCAAATGCTTGTGATTATTTTTCTGACCGTATTCACAAATATGTCCATGAAGTCATCGATATGAATAAATTTGGCCATATTCCGGGATTTTTTATTCGCCACAAACACGATAAAAAAATTAATTGATAATTATTCTGAATAAGTGGTTCTGTCAATACAATGCCGATTACCAGAAAAATATTAAAAGAAAGAAGAAGAAAGCCTGGGTATTTCCTCGCTATTCTTCGAATTCTTAAATATCTATTTAAATTGGTTTTTTGAGAAAATCACATTAGAAAGGTTTCTCACTATAAATTTATAAACATTTAAATTATAAATTCAAAATCATTTCTTCTAATATTTGCATTGGAGAGTTTTTCTTCGCTATGAATTTTTACATATCTTTTTAAAATGGTTTTTTGAGAAAATTCCATCTAGCAAAAATCGCAGAAGAATGATTTATCTCATTATAGATTATTTAAATAAACATTTAAATTACAAATCTGAGAAAATTCTTTCTTGCACAACTTACATTGGAAAGATTTTCCTTCGCTATGAATTTTTACACGTCTTTTTAAATTGGTTTTTTGAGAAAATGTCTTCTAGCGAAAATCACATTAGAAAGGTTTATCTCACAATAAATTTATAGACATTTAAATTACAAATCCAAAATAATTTCTTCTAATATTTGCATTGGAGAGTTTTTCTTCGCTATGAATTTTTACATATCTTTTTAAAATGGTTTTTTGAGAAAATTCCATCTAGCAATAATCACAAAAGAATGATTTATCTCATTATAGATTATTTAAATAGACATTTAAATAACAAATCTGAAAAAATTCTTTCTTGCACAACTTACATTGGAAAGGTTTTCCTTCGCTATGAATTTTTACAAGTCTTTTTAAATTGGTTTTTTGAGAAAATGTCTTCTAGCGAACATCACATTAGAAAGGTTTCTCACTATAAATGTATAGACATTTAAATTATAAATCCAAAATAATTTCTTCTAATATTTGCATTGGAGAGTTTTTCTTCGCTATGAATTTTTACATATCTTTTTAAAATGATGTTTTGAGAATATTTTTTCTGGCGAAAATCACACTAGAAAAGTTTATCCTCGTTATCAATTTTAAATTTTATTTTCATGTAAATGAATTACACCAAGTATTGCATGTAAGACTTAATATAAAATTACTTTTATATGATCATTTTGAATTGTTATCTTACTGTTATACACAACACCAATGATAAATTTCTTTCTTGTTGCATATATTGTTCTTCAACTACCTTGGAGTTTGGTCTGAAAATTTAAAAATCAAATTAGTTATAATTTTATTATAACACATAAAAGGATTGTAAATATAATTTAATAAAATTTATTTATCTATGTAGTAAATAGGTTATTTAAAAAATTAGTAAATTAACATAAATCATATCAAGAAGTGCATATAGAGTTTAAGTGTAAAATAGTATAAAATACAACAACAGTTTAAAATTAAATAAGTCTTAAAAGGTCTATTATAATTGAATAATAGACTAAGTTATAAAAATAATTATGTTTTTAATCTTAAAATCAGAACAATTTCCAAGTGATAAATGGAAAGCAAATAAATACAATAAATAAAATCAAAATAAAAAATTTAATAAATATAATTGCCATATTGGGGCAGTGTATACAAGTTAAACCTTAATCAACATTAAATAACTCAAGAAAATATATTGGGAACAAAAAACGAAATAAAACCTAAATTGATAGTATCATAATTTAAATTTATACTCGTATTTCAGCGTTTTAACAATAAAATAACTTATTTTTAAAAGATCAGTTAAACCCTAATTTTAATACTCTATATAAATTAAATAATATCATTGTTTCTAGTACATGCAAAGCTTTCACCTAATCTTCGATTTATTTTGTTGAGCTTTTTATGTTAAATAGACTGTTATTAAGAATTACACCTCCTAAACTTAAGAAACTTAAAAGATTTCCTAACCGAGGGGCCGCTTCAACAAGCTGCAGATTCTTAAAACTCGTCACAGGAATCAATCAAATATTTTCTCGTTTATCCATACTAAGCCTTATTAACTGTATTATGCAATTTGAGTTTTAGAAATAAATATTGCGAATGTTAATTATAAGATCTCACGTGTATATTCTACACGAATATGGTCAGCGAGGCCAATAATCTTCTCGGAAGAATAAAAAAAAAAAAAAAAAAAAATTGAATGTACATACTAAAACATGTATCCCACTATTTCAATTACGGGAGTCAAGCTTTAATGAGTTAAACATGTCAACCATGTAGGTAGGTACCTATACCTATGTTCAAAAACACCAATATAACATTTGTACCCTAATTATCAGTTACTACTTCTGGTATACATAGGGTCAAATAATAAATTAAGTACGTAATACTCACTCCTTTTCAATTATTTTATTTCTATAAACACGGCCAACAGGTGTGGTTTCATTAATAATTTCTCCTTTCATTCGTGTGTTCAAAGTTTGATAATCATATCTAAAATAATCAAAACAAGAATTAAAAAAAGTCGAGGAGGTAGTATACATAGTTATTTAATTTAAACCGGTAAACAACATTAGACTGTTGTTAACAGTTAAAATAAAAATGATTTTGAGCAAAGTTCGATTATAATAATTTTTTTTAAAATGTCTCAAACTAATTACACCCAACTTATACATTGATAAATTATAAAATACAGAAAAACATTAAATTACATAATACTCATTGCATTTGAATTCCTTTATTTCTATAAACAAGACCGTAAGATGTCATCATTAATTCCTTCTTTTATTGTTACATCGAGGTTTGGAGAAACACGACAATGACATTGTTAAAAACGGTTTCAAATTAATTATAACATGTACAATACACGTTGATAATTCAAATAAAGTAAGCAAACGAAACATCCAATAGACATGGGTATTTTATAAATAATTTGGCATTTTCCATTGATACGAAAATACCGCCGAATTAGGCAATTTTGGAAAAATGTCGTAATTTTACTTAACCTCAAAAAGTAAATAGAGGCGATAATTTTGAAAACGGTATGGGATTTAGTTTTGAAAAAATACAAACTTCGAAAATTAATATTAAAATATTCGAACATTGTTTAACTGGAATTTGTTCCGAATGTCTCAATAATCGGCAATACTCCGATAAACTGAAATAAATACCTAGGTAATTATAATATTAAAATTTTACTAAATCACTAACAATATTTTTCGACGGTCCCATCATTTTCCCGATCGATCGTTCGGCGCATTAGCCGGTCTCCGGATCACTTGACCAGCAGCAATTCTGTTTACGACATCCTCCGCTGAAACGTTGACAACTGGCGGCGGCCGGCCCATCGTCAGTAGACCGTAATGCCGTCAGTGGACACTGATCCGAGGACGGGACTTTGATCAATCACGGTCGCTGGAGACGGTAACCATGCGGTCCTCTGTTCGTCTGTGACGGCATCGATGTGACCACCGGTGTTGTTCCTTTTAAGAACCGAAAATCTCCCGACGGCATCGAACATGGCCGCATCGCTCGCCAAGTTTTCGAGTCGGTCGATGAGTATATGTGTGGGCCGGGTGTCACATTTTTTTTTATGGCCAGATAGCCGATAACAGTTATAGGATTTAACTATTATTGTATTGTAGATAAAGGTTTCACGATAACACAACGCTTACAGCGACGGTCCTCTGATATTTCGCGGTGCCCTCCAGTGGTACCACCGCCGATATCACGATATTAACGTACGCGTTCGGCTGACGATATTTGATAAGAACGCCCAGTGGTTCCCAATTTCGTTTACAATGTTGCCTATTGAACCCCTGAAATCGAACCGTTATCGGTTAAACGAGTTGCCTACCCAACACCCGAAAATGCGTTTTTTTAAACGATTTTCGTATTTCTATTGCCGATGTTCAATCCTGCGCGCATGTTGCCTACCTGGAACCTGGGATTGTATTGTTTGTTTTCAATTTGTCTGTTTATCGCCCAACTCGCCCAATTATAAATTTTACCGTCAACGTTCAAATGTTTGTGTACAAAATTTACCTTGTGCATATCAAAAAAAAAATGCTGTTTTCCATATTATTATTTTTTTTTTACACCCGCCTACTGTACAATAATTGTTTAATACAGACACCGTCAGTGTCGCCGAACCAATATTTCGTATGTGCGGCGATAAACTTTCATTCATACCCGCCTACCTCTAGACGGTATTAAACCTAAATCATGAAGGGGGCATAGCCCCCCCCCCAACGCCAACTACCGATTTCTTAAACTATAAAATATTATTTTCTCAAATTATATTATTTACTTAATAATGTTAAAATGTTTGCATCGTTTATTGTTTTAATGCGCAAATAGGTACTTTCGTTTTCAATTAGTATCAAAATTAATTGTATGAACATTAGAAACATTTGACATAGGCAGGAATACATTGGTTTTACAATGATGTTCGTTTTAAATTCTGAGCACGGCCAGGGATCTGTTGGTTTTACTATGATGTGTGGTTTTGTGTTATTATTATTGTTATTATTTTTCGTGCCTGTTAACAACTTTTCTACTAGAAATCTTGTTCCGATGTATAGAGTATGTATACACTTTTTCTGAAATGTAATTTTGTCCAGCTAGACGTCAATGTTTGATTTTCTCAGGGGGTTTTCAAAAATAATTGGGAAAAATCCGTGAGAAAAGTGTAGGTAAAACGACAAATGGTCCCAGCGCGCCACGGCCGTTTAATTGCATTTTCAATGTTAGACATAGGGACTGTTAAATCATATCACTATCGTTGCTATATGAGAGTAGTGATGAATCGTTCACGCGTACTTCGAAAATCCGAATTCGCTATAACTGGGGTGATTTATGGCTTTAATGATATTATTTATATTTATTTCCTAGACAATTTATTCGTGTCTACTTAAAACTTAAAAAAAAAAAATTAATTAATTTTTTATCATAATAGAAGATTGTGTTATGCGTGTCATGGAAACCATCTCGAAAGTGATCCAACCCAATTGGTCCCCGCAGGTTTTGAATACCCACGCGCCATACAGACCACATTTAACCACATTACATTACAACAGGACGGGGTTAGGTGCAATCGTTTAATGCATAAATGGGGAGTGGTGGACTCGCCTCTCTGCAGCTGTGGTCAGGCCCAAAACAATCGAGCACATTGTTGAAATCATAACTTTCCATTTTCCACCAATTCACGTGTCGGCGAAATGAAAATATTCGAATATTAACGGACGACTGTATCAATAATTATTATTATTGTATTATAAAATAAAGCTGCCACGGGACAACGGGGACGGGCGCGGCTACTGTTGTAGGTGGGAGGAGGTCGGAAAGGCGGATACAGAACGGAATTTAATGTATATCTGTAAGCAGCGATAAACCATTGCAAACGTAACAACGATTCTGAGCGGAGTTCAGTTGACAGTGATGCATTGTCAACGATAAACAATATAAACACCGGTCGTATTACGGTAAAATAATTAAACGGGCATTACGCACATGTTCTTTAACAATATTCGTTTAACATTGATCCGGCCATCCCGGTTTTGCCACGAGAGTGGTGGATTTATTATAGACCGAACGACTTGGAGCATACAAAGACAAATATCGCGGGCATAAAACGTGGCGAAAAACGGGAAAATGATTCGACGCGAATTTAAACAGTTTTTTAGCGGCGGATCGACCGCGTCGCGATGTGGCGGCACGGATTGATGAGACGCCGTGCGCCGCGCGGGAAACCGAGGAAACGGGCCAACGGGTCCGTTGGGCGTTACGAATTTGTCGTCGGCGGTCACACGCGGGGCGACCTTACGGGGACGCCGTCAAGAGCGGGAGCGCGGGCCGTTCCGCGGCAGTGTGACCACTTTCAACGACGCGGCGTTTCGCGACGGCGGGCGGTGAACGTGCTCCGGGGTGCACTGCATTCGTCCGGTAATCTCGCCCCGCGGTTGTGTATTGGCACCGGAGATGATAAGCGCGGTCGTGGATAACAACGTCGCCGAATCGTGATCGCAACCCCGGGGAAAGTGTCGTTCGTTCGGCTGTCACACGTTTTCAAACGTTCCCGACGTCCGCCCGTTGCGGTTTTTGAGCGCCGCGTTCCGTACGCAGTCCGCGAGTGTTTGCGGTTAACGAGACGCCGGGAGCTGTTCCGTTCGCGGGAGATCGGGAAATGACAAAAGTAATGCGGAAAACGTAACGCGTAACAAGTACCCGCGTCGATTATTTCAACGTAACGTATGCGCCTGTTTTGTATATTGTACGGGTGCGTACTCGTGTGCCAGTGCGCTCCGGTGTTTCGGGCCGAAGTCGCCGCGAGGATGCCCGTTTCGGTTTGTGCCCCGGGGGCGGGGGTGGTGGGGGGGGGGTTGGCTAGCGGTAAATATTGCGGACGATAACGAATCGTCTACGGTCGTTGTTTAGCGAATATTGCGTTTTTTGCTGTCGATACGATTAACGATAACGATTGCCGATGGCCGTCGGCGTTGTGGTTTATTTCCAAAAAAATCATCGCAACGCGCCACCGTGTCGAGAACACCGCAATAACGTGATACGCGATTTCTGTTCGCGAACAGGTTGGCCGTCCGGCCAAATAAATCGCGCGGGAACCGGTTGTACAATTATTTCGGGTTACGTTGGGACGGGCGGAGCGAGAAACCCACGGTTATATTGGAAAGCCGAACGGTGTGGTGTTCCATGATATTCTTGCGGGAAACCCCACTTGTGTTTTCTACGTTGAGGTCCCGCGTCCCGTGCGACGCCGACGAAAATAATAAACGACGGACGTTCCGGCGACAATATTTGATAAGAAAGCCAAAACTAGTGGTTCCCAAACTACGAAAACATTGCTACTCGGGCGGTGGATAGGCAACGAATATGAAAAAAAAAAAAAAATAAATAAAATAAAAAAATTAGCGCTACGAAGTCAACCGAAACGCGTTAAGAATGTTGCGAAGCGATGTGGGTATTTTTCGATTTCATCGATGTATACAGATTTCTCACGGTTTTTGTTGAGGAAAAATCCCGGCGTGCGCCGTTGTTGACCGCGTACCGGGTGATCCATTTTAGTGGGTACGTTCATTATTATCTCGTGTCACCTTTAGCCGGAATTTGTTTTCAAGACCGCTTAACAAACAAACTGCTCTATAATTTTACATTTGTATTATTTTTCGTCGCCCTTAATTTCGGCGGTAAAACCACTATCTGTTTTCGATTTTCAAATAACAACCCACATTGAAAATGCCGTTAAACAGATGCGAGCATTTGTTAAAATAAATGTTGACGTTTTTAATTTATTTCGAGCCGTTGACGAGATATTCCACATGTAAGTCTGGGTTGTCATTCGAAAATCAAAAGTAGTTAGCGGTTTTACCCACAAAAAAATAACATAAATACAATATTGTAGAGCGACTTGTTTCGTAAATGTTCTAGCAAAAAAAAAAAATCGTTACTTTCCGAAATAATTAATGAGTGTACCCACTTAAACGGATCGCCAGATACAGCTGGTTAGGTTAGGTATTTTTCATAATCCTTTTAATTGTTGTGGTTTCTATGATGTATTTTTGTTAATAAATTTCTTTTGAAATACAGCCAGATGACTTTGCTGACCGGGTGGCCCGGCTGTGCCTGGAGAAGTTCGACGGTCTGCCAGACAAAGGCAAACCGTTGGCCGGCAAAGAGTGGACGCTCTTGTCGGGCGTCGTCGAACGGCGACGGTCGGACGACGGCGGTGACCGGTTGACGGTCGTCGCGTTGGCCACCGGCACCAAGTGCGTGGGCGCCGGTAAACTGTGCGCCAAAGGCACGGTAATTAACGACAGCCACGCAGAGGTAAGTACTCCGATATGGGAACATATAAATCCTTTTATTATACGCCCGAGGCTCGACGACTACCTATACGTACAGTATAGATTTGTTATTTTTATGCCTCGAATTTTCCCGCGATTTTCTACCTATTTAGCCACGTTTCAAAACCGAGCCAAAACCTAACCTTTCCCACCAGAAAAAAATAAAAAAAAAACCGATTACCTATCGTTTTTTAAAACGACATAACCGTGAATTCGAAGAAATGTTTCAAAGACCGGACATCGCTAAAGTAATATTAAAAAAACAGGCTGACGTGAGCGGGACACGGATGACGGAAAGTAGGATCCATAGTAAGATCAACCATCGTAGAGGACCCGTCCGGGAAGATTACGTTGGGGTTTCAAAACCGAGCCAAAACCTAACCTTTCCCACCAGAAAAAAAAAAAAAAAAAACTGAACTAAACGCGGCGGAAATTTGCGGCATAGAAGGAACAAATGTATACCTACTAATTGACAGCGTATTTCATCACGCATTTTTTTTTTCTTGATTCATACCGAAATCAATGTTAATTCATCGCGATCAACAAATGAAGTTAACCGTGCTAGTATCAAGTGTGTTTATTTGCCTTTGTAGTCCCCTCCTCCCCCCCCAAAAAAAAAAATGCCGAGATAAACAATAATAAAACCGATGTCTCGACGTATGTTGTTAGTATTAAATTTTATTAGGAAAACTGTCGGACTCGTTAAATTGTTATCAAATCAATTATCGCCGACAAATCCTTATATCTTTAAACGTACATTGCGAATAACTCTGTGCGCTTATATACCTCGGCTTTTACTGTAACCGAAACAATTTTCCGAGAAAAACCGACTTACTAAAAATCCGCATCTTTTCACGTGGGTAATGAAAAAAATCTGAGCGTTTTTACCAACCCAAAAGGCGTTTCCCGAGAAAATGTACACGCATCGGTTACACAGTAAAACCAATAACTTCTTCGTGACACTTTGAGTCTGCGTAGAAAAGCGAAATCTACCGCCGTGTGAAGTCTAGAAAACCCACGTACGACGCGAATACCGTTTTTCAGGTGTTGGCGCGCAGAGCCCTGTTGCGGTATTTTCTCCGGGAGATCGGGACGGCCCGCGACGGTCGGCCGTCGATATTCGCGGCGGCCGACTCCGGCGACGGCGGACGTTCGGCCGAAAACGTACCGCGGCGGCCGCCGCTGAAGCTCAGCCCCGGCGTCACGTTTCACTTCTTCTGCAGCCACACCCCGTGCGGCGACGCGTCCATATTTCCCAAGTGCGGGCCGCTCGACGTGCCGCCCGGGCGCAAGAGGTCGGCCGCGGACGACGGCGGGGAGGCGCCCAAAAGACCCAAGACCCGCCCCGAGGACGTGCACCGGACCGGCGCCAAGTGCCTGACCGACGAAACCAGGCAGGACGCGCGCTTGCCGGGCGCGGGCTATCACACGGTCGGCGCGGTCCGGACCAAACCCGGCCGAGGCGACCGCACGTTGTCCGTGTCTTGTAGCGACAAGCTGTTCCGGTGGCAATCGTCCGGCGTACAAGTGAGCGCTATTTCATTGCCATATCGTACCGCGCGTACACGCGTTGGATTTCCGTCGCCCGCGGTTTTTCGGATTACAGAACCCGCGGTGCCAATTTATTAACGACCGTCTTTTTAAACGCGTGCGTTTTTTTTTTTTCGTATAGGGTGCCTTGTTGTCGCTACTGATAGAACCGGTGTACCTGTCTTCGGTGATCGTGGGCGGCGGTTGTCCGTACTCGGAACGGGCCCTGCGCCGGGCCGTGACGGACCGGGCCGACGACGGCGGTTGCCCGTCGTCCGAGGACGGCCGCCGCCGTGACGCGCTGCAGCTGATGCGGTCCGCGTTGGAATTCGAGCACGCCAAACACCGGGCGGACGCGGCCCACAGCAAGCCCTGTCCGTCCAGCGTAGTCTGGTGGCAGAGCGACCCGATGAAAGACGTACACGCTGCCGGGTGAGTTTATAACCGATTCAAAACGACAATAAAATAATAATAATTATAGCCCGCACGCAGTGGTGGCGCCAGGAACTTTTCCCCGTGGCGGACCGAAGGGAGGCCGACACATGTTAGGGCAGTCACGGTCGCACGATAGTTAAAAACACGGGGGGGCGGGGGGTAGACAGGGGCCGAAACGTCCTTAATTTGGACTCACCACCTCCGACCCTCCGTATATAAGTACAGTAATAAAAAATTGTTTATTCAATCTTCTGAGGTCTTGACCTCCATCCCTCCTTGAAAAATGATAGTTGCCGTTCATCGAACCGCACTAATTATAAAACGTAAATAATCTATAGCTGTGTGTGACGTGTGTATAATTTAGGAAAATTTGACCCCGAAATTACACGTGTGTTCTGTTTACGTAACGATTCTTAAAAAATAAGAATTCAAACTGTTAAACTAAATCAAAAATTTTGGGCGGGCCATAGTCCGCCCGTGCCCGTCTATGACACCGCCACTGTCCGTACGTTCCTTAAATTTTGTGATATTCATTCGGGCGATGACACCGGAGACGAGTCACGGGTTTTTCCTTTTTAAATTTAAAAATTTCCGATGGTGTTTAATTGTTTTGTTACCAACCACGTGTGTTATAAACTCAGAGTTGGCGGTGTTTGGAATTTACTCAACAGTATGCGGTACGTGTGAGACGATTTTACATACATCGGTTTTACCCGGTATACCGCGGTACCACAGTATTTTGTATGCTCGGTAAATACCGTTTTCTGCAGATAAAAACCAATATTTTGGTGGGTAAATTTATTGCTGGGCGGGTTCAAAAAACTATTACCGATATAGGCATTATCATTTTATAGTTAGATTTGATAAGGCACTACCTATATCACGCGGATAAAAACAGCAGGATTCTCAACGTTCAATATTCGCTGTTGTACTAATATAAAACGCTGCGACTTCAAAAAAATTTCAAGAGTTTCTCTATAGGTTCGCTGTATGTCAGGGCGATTCATATCAGTATGAAACTATGAAATTATAAAATTTACAAATTCACAACAATCATAACTTTACGGTATTCAATTTTGACTCGTTGAGAATTCTGTTCTTTTTATCCGTGCACTATGTTAATGAATAAGTTATGCCGCCATTTCGTGACTCATTTACCAATATATCTACAATGATTATGAATAATTATGGTTATAAACGCGGCAATTTTATATCTGATACGTTATTTAATATTTTACTTTGTAGTATAGACATATTTAACATATATTTACACAAGGTATTTTTAAAGTTTTTAAATGTCGTGTTTAAATTCCCGTGAATTATCTAAAGTACGGTTATAACCGATACTACGGTATTTACAGAATAGACAGTATACCGGTGTTTTTAAATATACCCTATAAATGACCCGACCGAAGTCTTCTCTCAGTTGAACTTCAATACATATATTATCGACTGTTTTTTTTTCCCCCTACGATAGTTGTCACGAAGTGTTGGTAAACGGCCGGAAACAAGGCGTCACGAAAAAGACGATGGACAAACCGAGCAGCTCGTCGGCTCTGTGCAAAAAGTCCATGTTGGACGCATTCAAAGGTTTACGGAGACCGAACGACGATGAAAAAAATCCGTATTACACAACGAATACTACTTATGGTCAATTGAAGTCGGAGGCCACGACTTACCATCGCCTGTGGATAGCCCACAAGAGTTTGTTAGGGTGTTGGACAGAAAAACCCGAAGGACTGTTGGATTTCACGTGAAGAAGTGGAGTTAAACGAGAACAGAACGCTGAAATATCACTAATTACAGTGAGGATAATGATAGCTACTTTTGTTTAAATCTATAGAAAATATGGGTAAAATTGATAAAAGACAATATATACTGCATGGTGATTTTTAAATTTTTTAAACGAACAAACAATTTTCTCAGAGGATTTTTAGTGAATTTGATTTCTGTACTTTTTAATCATTATTGAATTTATTTTATTATTATACATTTTGTATCCCTACTCTATATAACTTTAATAAGTATATACTTTTGTTTTTCAAACAGGAATTCCCATTTTGGACTGCAGATTCGAATAGAGGATATTTTTCTAGAAATTTTGATATGCATAACACTAATATCAGATTTAAAGTTTAGAGCTGGTTTAGAATTATTAAACTAACTACCGTGTGATACAAGCGTCAGAATACAATAGTGGACCATAATAGAGGGAAGTTTTCCGGCAAAACGGTTTTTGCAGCACATTGGGGAGGCAAATAGTAGAATGACAGTATCGTTCACAGAAGGCGGACTGGCATGGGTGGCAGTCTATGTGTTATCAGATTGGTAATAGAGTAAACGTCTTGAACCCATGACAATAGCTATTGCCTTGACCTTAAGTCACAATATAATATTTGAAACAATTGATACGTTATTATTGTAGTATGTTCAATATTCTGAATACTATATTCAAAATAATTTTCAAGTATTATGAACATTTTGAAAATACTTTTTTTCAAAAATAATTAATATTGTATTCCGAACAATTTTAAAAATTTTTTTTTTTCGGAAAACGCCTTTCACAGTTATGATAAAAATGAACAGATTTTTTGCTTTTATTTATGGTACTGATTTAAAACATTTTTTGAAACAACCACCAGTTAAAAATATAAAGGATAAACATGTTACCTAGATCATATAATACCTATAGTTTTCTTAAGTCATCTGAATCTAATCTTGAGTACATTTTTTAACATGTTGTATTCCTAAAATATTTTATAATTATTTACGATTATAATATTTTGAAAATACTATTGTTGTAAAATATTAGCATACATATTTTAAATACTGTTTTTGTATACATTCAAATATTTATTTTTAATACTTTTTAAAATAGTATATTACCCAAATCTGTTATTTTATATCAATTTAAATATATTTTTAACCATACTTTTTTCAGATTGCTCAATATATTCATACACAAACTGGATTTATTTGCAGTTTTTATTATTTTATTTTGTTAATTCTATTATTTTATAATTGTCATTAATAATTTAATTTTTGTTATAGTTCAGTTTTTTTTTTGTATGTAAACAACTTTTGTTTATTACTATTTTTTATAGCAATAAAAACAATTAAAAATAATATTTAATCAATTTTGTTTTTACTGAAATTTATTGCAATTTGTTGATACTATTATTACCTATGTAAATTTATTACATATTACATTTATTTATTAAAGTATACCCTATATACTTTTTGTATATTTCATCCAAGAAAATCATATTATATTGATAAATTGTGATATATATTTAAATTTAAAAAAAAACAAAGTATTATAATAATAGCCCAATACAATATTTAACATAATATGTGTAACATTTCATTGAGACTCAAACGATTTCCGTCTTAAAGTAAGCAGTAACAATTGATCGTCACATAGAGCTCTCATTAAAACCTGTATGATAACGCGTAATATACCAGTAATACTGAATCACTCAACTGGGCAATTGCGTATCCTGGGATGTCTTACGAACGTCATAGGATCAACATAAAATGAACATTGTAAATCACAAAAAAACCTCTCTGTGGTTTCTCCGAGACTACATTACATTTATGGGAAAATACTACTCATGTTTGAATCTCAATTTAGGTATGTGCTTATTACGTTTTTTGGATAAAGGTGAAAATGAATAAGGCTATCGGTATTTCGATTTTCTTCGTTTCACAATGGGACCCCGCATCGATAGTTGGAAAAATATTATAATAATATATTGACACATTTAGCTCCTAATGTTCGAGGCGTGTTCAAACAAGACAATGTCTAAAAACCTGAAATAGTTGAAAGGAAAATATGATAGCAAATTAATATATATATATTTTTTTTTTTTTTTATTTGATCCTAATGAAACACGGACTCGGTTCACGTCAACGAAATAGAGATTAGGAGAGTCAAGGACGTTACGAATGGGAGGACGATGGATTTTTATGATCGAGAAACAACCGGTGATAAGAATAAAACGTCGTTTTTTTTTTTTTTTTTTTTTTTATAATAACATTTAGTAATATTTTGAGCATTGTAATGAAAAACTACACAATATAATTAATATGATACATTTGTTTGCATTTTTTTTTTCCTTTGTTTTTTTTTTTTTTTTATATAATATAATATTTACAATATTTTTGGTTTTTTGTTTTTCCAATTACGCGTTTATATAATATTATATAGTATTTTACGTACAGTATTATTGCATACACGTGAATAAAATAAAACTCGCTGCAGACTGCAGTACAACGCGTATTATACTATATACGACCTATATCGATTAATTAGGGGGGGGGAGAGGGGGTTACAAATCAAAAACTATATATTTGAGGCTAGACATATCAGAGGCCGTATCTGGGGGGGGGGGCAGACAGGGGATCAAAGTATTGATATTTTTAATCGAGATAAATGCTAAACATGTCCGTAACAAAAAATAATGATACAGATTTAATTTAAAAACCCCTCCCGACAATCTGGTCCAACTACGGCCCCATATACGGTATATCACATAAATTTAATTTCATTGTTCCGTAAATGTAAAATAACGATAGTATAATATTACGTGTTCGAATGAAAAATAATACTATTTTGAAATATCTCTCGTATTTCGTATTTTAATTTTCGCCGAATAGTAAAAAATAATATAATATAAATGAATTAAAAACTAAAAAAAAAAAAAAAAAAAAAAAAAAAAAATGATTTGGCTCTGGTAAAAATAATTATTTATATGTACACGATTAAACAATTTTTTTTTTTTAAAAAAAGAAAAGAAAAAAAAACAATTATCTTATAAATTAAAATAATAATAATAATAATAATAATAATTAATTAATCAATAATAATGTGTTATATAAACGAAGATCATACGTTAATAATATTATGGCAAGATACATTATTGTAATTATTATATCATATTCATTTTATTGCTAATTCTTAAGTCGTCTATATTAACAAGACGGAGTTTGTCGTTTAATTTTTCGTAATTATGTGCGTATGGTTTTTTATTATTATTATTTTTTTTTCTTTTTTGATTTTCGTCGCTTTGCGTGCAATATCGACACACGCGATACTGTAATTTACAATAATTTTGACATTCCACTATAATACGCTACTACAATAAATTATTTTTCGGAATTAAAAATTAATAAAGAAAACAAAACAAAAATAAAAAAAAAAAACCGCGTTTCCGAGACGTTTTTTTTTTTCTTTTGATTCATCGGCGGAGGATGGAATTATTTCGGAAAAACAAAATTTGTTTCGATAGCGAGCAAGCTGATCATTACCAACTAACCGAACGTTTACAGGTTTTTCGTACGATCGTAAAAAAATGTTTTTTCCGAAAACCGCATACAATATTATATTATATTATGGTACGTAATATTATACATATTATTTAAGTACGATGGCACATGATAAGGGGCGGGAATCATTTAAGATTTATATTATAATATAAATTTCGAGACTTAAAAAAAAAAAAATAATAATAATAATAATAATAATAATAAAATAATAATATTAAAACGAAAATTAATTTAAAAAAAAAAATAAAAATAAAAAAAACTAACCTATAATACGTTGATACGTATCTGCATTTATTAATAATATGCGCGCGCGTACGTATATTATACTGTACAATATCGTTAAATATTATATAATTAGGTATATATTAAAAAAAAAAATAATAATAATAATAATATTAATTATAATAAAAATCAATTACGATTGTCCGAAAAGAATAAACGAAATACTATTTTTTATACCGTAGGTATATTATTTACAGGTATGACGCGATAAAAATATTATGGCTGGCGTGTATGTATAAATATTTTGTTGTCACTTTCGGGCACGTAATTTTTTTTTTTTTTTAACAGCCGCATTTGTATACAAAAAAAATAAAAATCTTTTTTTTTTTCAAATAATATTCTAATCGTATGATAGGAGGTGGGGTGTGGGGTAGGGCTGGCGGGCGGTCAAGAGGTCACAACGATCGTCGACTAATCTCGAATCGTCAGATTCAGAGATCGCCGCGAAAATAATGCGGTCGTCGTACTACTGCTGCTGCCTCCGTTGCTGCTGAGCATGTCTACTGCTGCTGCTGGTGATGCGCCCGCCTCGACCAGGCTCATTTTTTCAGTTCCAGCCCGACCAGGTCTTTGGGTTTCTGGTCCTGTTGCTGCAGTTGGTTGGCTTGCTGCTGCTGCTGTTGCTGTTGTGACGACAGGCTGTTGCCCGACGGGTACACCTTGTCCAGGTGTTTCAACGATTCCGACAGAAAATTCTGGAAGAAAATATAGTAACAGTCAGTTATAAGTAGTAATAATATTTTGGGATGTGTATATGTGAAATCCGTCTTTCGGAATCCACCGAGCACCAAGACCGAGCGAGATATTATACATACAGACAACGATCGAAGCAAACGTTCGTGTTGTCGAAGAATTTAATATCGTTTGATATAAAAAAAACACAAATGTGCCTTGAAGTTTAAAGAGGCCAATTGTTTTTTGTTTCAAACACTTTGATGCGTATATAACGCTAAATACGATTGGATTTATTCTCTATTTTAATTAGGGAGCATTTGGCAGGGTAGGGAAACAAATTTGAAACAAAGCGTTCAAATAAAAGATTAAACGATTTTATTAATATGAGAAAAAAAAATTAAATTAAATTCACTTTAAAGGAAGTCACCGATTCTCTTAATATACCTATTATTATATTGTAGTCGACTTAGACCTAAAAAACCAGATAAAACTGTAGGAATTTCAATTTTAAAATAAAACGGATTATGATTCTTCAGGTTCTATAATAGGGCGTGTTAGAAATATAAATTCAATATTTTAAAGGAACCGTAAACACGATATTTGATAGTATTTTGTCATTTATTTGCGGTAGAAATAATTGAAATTGATTGAACAATTCAACACGGTTTAGCCGAGGTTTTCGGTCAGTAGATCAGTGGAAAAGTTTTATCGTCAGGTCAGTTTTACGGTTAGGTAACGTTAAACGCAAACAGTTTGTGTTTAAAAAATCGGAGAGCATATCGGAAACCCGTCACCAATACCCTGTGGTTTGTTTTCCGACCACAATAATCTCAATCGAGGAGTGTTTTACTAATTATTCTATTTGTTTGTTTCTGTAACAACGCCGCCGTACCGATTTCGCGTATCGGCCCGAGCGGACCAGACAAATCTTTCCGGGTGTAACAATATTCCCGAATAAAATTGCAACGAAACGCCGGACGATTGTTTGCATGACGTACCGTCAATAACGGCGGAGTCGCCCGCGCGGGCCGTGCTGTTTCCGGCGCGCGCCCGACAACCCGATCGTATTGTTATCATCGCAGTAATATTCTAACCGGCAACGTTAGTTAATAATTATTATTGATTTGCTGATCGACGCCGTATTATCGATGCGAGCTATCGTGTCGTACCGAACCGACGTTAGAGGAGGCGTCTACCGTTTACGGGCAGCCGTTGGTACCGTCTCATCTTGAAAAAAACCGCAGTAAACGCGTCCGCGAACAATGCGCGATAAATACCGCGGCTGCTTTACGAACGAATATACGGTAGGCGCGTAATACTGGTATTATGCGATGAGACGGCGGCAGTGCCGTGCAGTACGTACGTTAGGGTTTAATTAATTTCACGTCGATAAAAAAAAAAAAAAAAAAAAACAATATCGAAAGACAATGGACACCACCTATCGCGGGCGTCTGTTACGGGCCGTCATACGAATATATCGTCGAATAATAACAAATTGTTTTCGTCTCGAACAAACGATACGGGAAGACACTGCGGTATAATGTATAAAATATACGACGGTATGACGACGAAACACACGGGAGAGGGGGGGGCGAATGTCCGGAGCAGGGGCGAAACGAATCTAAAACAATCCAGAAGCGACCCATAACCCACTGTATACCCATTGCCCACCCCCGTCGATATTTCCCAATATTATCAATATTTTCACTTAATTTTACTAAATTAGTCGTAAACAAGTACTAACGTTTAATTATTTTCTTATTAAGTATCCACCTAATCCTCAATTTAAAATTGAATCGAAATGCAATCACGTATTTTCAAAGGTCGCGTTCGTTTTGCCACTGGCCCGGAGTAAAACAAAATGTCCAGAGTCAAAAATGATGAAAGTTAAAAATTCTAATATCATATCTATACATATATATTATTTTTGAGTTTTGATATTTTTCCCACTCGGATATTTCGGTAGAATTCCAGCGACGGACTACGGCGATGAAAGCGGTAACACAAGCAGAGCAATTTTTTAAAATTATTTAGGAAACTAAAACTAAAAAAAAAAATGTCTTAAAACTATCGAGTTCGTATACATTAGACCGCCATCAGAATATTTAAAATAATTCAGTTTTACTCAATTCGACGCTTACAGTTTTTTTTTTTTTTTTTGATTCGGATATATAATATTAATCTTACTCCTATTTCAGTAATCACAAATGTTTGCGGAGTTTTCCCGTTATTTTGACCAGCATTTCGTTGAATCATGTTATAAAAGTTATTGCAGAAGTCACGAGGATCATTTCCTATATCGGAAATAATCAAAACGTACGTATATAAATGTCGTCAAAGAGGTATTGAAACTAGTGTTTTTAGTGATGCGATATGTCGGGAGATTCGACAATTTTTCAAATGTAAAATATAAATGCACCGATACTGTCGCATTTTTTCAAGCACTGTGCGTGAAACACGATATTTGGAATGGTTTTTTTTTTTTGTTCAAAATTCAAAATCGGATAAAGCAACGGAAATACTGTCCGAGTCTCGGTGCGTTTTGGGGTATGGAAATCCGCGCGATCGTCTGATCCGCGGATTTTTACCGACTCACGGAGTTGGAAAAATCCTCTGGACTCACCTGTATGGCCGTGAGCGCGGCCACTATTGCGGGACTGCCGAATCCGTGCGATATGAGCGAAAAGTGCGTCAGGGGACGCTGTATGATCGGGTCGAGGATATGCTGAGGCCTGGTGTTGCACAGCGGCGATCGGTCCTGGTTCAGCAGGTCCATCAGCTCTTTGGTTACTTGTCTGCGAAAAGGAAAATAAACACCGTGTTACTATATACAAACGCACGCACACACACATAATAATATTTAAATATCTCTAGTCTTATCGCGATACGGTTGGACGCGGCGGTGTTTTTACATCGAAACGAGTTGAAAATATATATGCGTGCAGGCACGCTGACAGTTTGATGTTTTTGAAAATAATTATTCTCCCGCGAGACGCGCGCAACATCGCCGTAATAGACAGTGGCAGACGGCCGACGCATTAAGATCTGGTCGACAAGACGTATTAAGAGAATATTATTATTATTATTATTATTATACCTGCCTACCGCGATCTGTCGACTGTCTACATTGCGTTATCCTTACACGGGTATTCGATTTACATACTATTATTTGCGTACATTATTTACGGTAATTTCCAATGTCTGCAGTCCGAGGGTTTCGCGGCGCGGGAAAAAGTTTCTAAAAAATCGCGCGCACTACGACGCACTTTGCGCACTACAAAAGTTCAGCTGTGCATCGCGAATTGAATTAAAGTGTCCGCCGGTCTGTACCTGCGTTTTTATTATAAACAATTATTATACATTAACTATGCCGTTAGTAAATTCAGTGGCACAATTAAACGGGAAATAGGGGGCTCAGCTCCCTCTGGATCGTCTTAAGGTCCCTCAATTTTATTTTTAAAACATCCCCTTGGTTGCTCCACTGTATTATGGTGGGGCCCAAGACCTTCCAAGGATTCTCAACTAATTGCGCCACTGTTAGTAATATAATTCAAATACATGACGCGTAAAAGTCAGAAAAAAAATAGCCACTGCTGCTGCGGATGGATGTGCCACTGTTGTAGGTGTATTGTAGATAAGACAGGGTATTTTATAGATAAATTTAATTTATTTCTGTGTTCGCAAACGAAAAAATGATTTTGAACTTCCAAGTTCGATTCCATACGTTAAACGCGTGTTTTCAAATGCCGTGATTTTTACGATGTTCATAAACAATTGAACTTTAAACGCTTATAAATAAAAAGAATCTTGACTACAGATTTTCGATGTTCTTATATAGAGTCATAAGAGCAAATGATGGCGAACCTTGTATCAAATTTACGAATTTAGCGTGAGAAATGTGTAGTTTTTCAAGGCGTTTTTATCACTCACTTTGTTGCGTGTATAAGTTCTTTTCTCCTGTAAGACTCGGTCGGATCGCTCGTGTGCGGTCTGCTCAGGTACTCAGCCACTTGTCGGGCCGGGAATTCTGTTTCGCATACGTACCCGAAGTCCCGAGCCAAATGGATCGCTTCACCTGTAACATTGAAAAAAAAAAAACCATTTAACAAAATAATAAAATAATACTTATAATATCCATTATATGCACAAGATTTTCCGTATGTATTAAAATCATTCGCCCTTGAAATATCTATAATAATAATAATAATTAGACCGACCGTCGTAAAGAGTTTACATTTCTTTTTATTTATCAAGCTCGCATATAATATAATAGCGTCGGTTTTCGTGTCCAACGTTTAATTCTCGCACGCGGGCATAAGCGTGCGCAGATCCTCTCGACCAGAGGGTGACAACTCTCTTCGAAATCAATATACTCGGCACAAAATCGAGGGCTCAAGTGCCCATAATATTAATTTTGTATAAACTTAGTATTTACTTGACGAGGACTTGATTCGTAGAGGCGGGATAAACCTCCGAGCTCGACCTATTCGCGCTAATCTATACAAAATCAAGAGTACGGTGGAGTTAAATGTATTGAAAAACGCATATAGATAATCTAAAATGCATAAAAAAAAAAAAAAAAATACTTAGGCGAATAATAATCTCGCGGGAGAAACAGCCGCCTCACTTACATCCTCCGTGCGCACGCTTATATGTATAAAGTACACGACGTGTGTACGACGTAAAAGTCGTCCGGCGTAAATTCTATTAAATGAAAATAAACTAATACGCGCACGAACATCGCATAATAATTGATACGGCGTATTTGTACGTTATGCGCGCACTTAAACTCGTGCGGCGTTTGCGAAACTCGTATTTCGTGTTATATATGTACTCAGGCGTAGATATATAATATGTATGCTGTATATTTATTGCATTTTGAAAGAGTCGTAAAAACCGATATTAATGTACTATTGTATTGCCCGTGTATAATGTAATAACATATAGCTGTATAATTATTACGCGGCTAGAGTAAAATGCGAGAAAAAAGAAGAAAAAAATAAGTAAATAACAAGAAAATAATCGAAGCTGTTGACGCATTGTTTTACGGCGATTTGGAAAAACGATTTAATCAAAATGCATCTTGTTGGTTCACGGGTTACCCTGGCGAGACGAGTTATAATCGTTTCATTCGGCCGTCACGGACAACGTATAGTGCCGTTTCCGAAAGAAAATTTATCCGGCCAACAGCGAACTATACCGCGCAGTTGGGGACAATATCACAGGGTCGGAAACGGGGACGCACGTTTACGATTCGAATTTGTTTCGTTTCTGTTTTTTTTTGAACGGAATCCTATCGATTCCGGGAAATACCGGGTAAATCGGCTGTAGTGGCACATAATACCTACATTAGTGTTCGCGTGTATTCGATGTTGGAACCGGAGAGTTATAAACACAAATAGGATCGACGGCATACTTGAGAATTGTCGTTGAAAATACGGCGCGTTCATTTTAACAGTAAGCATACGAAAACCCGATAGTGTTTTTCATTGTGGCCGAAACGAGCGAACTTCGGAATCGGTTACCGAGTTGACTAGAATGACTTTTTTTCGCGAGTATATCTGCGCCCGTGCGGCGATTTCATTGGCCGTCGAGCTTGTCGGAATACCGAGTATAATGCACATTATACACATTAAACGTCGGGTTTTTCATTGGTCCTCGACAACAACGCGCGTCCGTGTTGTACAATAATTAACAAAATCGATAGAAAAAAAAAGATGACGCATAATTTATAACAATGTAATATTATATTGTAGAAACGATAAATTAATTAAAAAAAAAAACAAATTAAATCGGTTTTTTGTTTTTTAGAAAAACGTCAAAGTATTCCAATTTCTAAATAGGTACGTTATCATAATGCGCAAGACAAATTGATTTTCCGAGAGAATTCAACACGTACCGAACTACCGATAGAAATCGGGCGCAAGTCGTTCGGGTCCCGACCCCGATTTGCATCCACTACGTTTGGGCACCGGTTATGCGCGCATGGTATTTAAATAGGTACTTTATTTAATACGCGCGTTTCGATTATATATCCGTCGCAAAAGCCTTTTGTGTACCGAATCACAATTGATATTTAACAAGCCGACAATACTGATTAAAAGTTGTAATTTACAATTTATTTCCCCCCTCCCTTCTTCCCCGCCCCAAATCTCATCGAATTTCTCCTTTTCGATTGATGAAAAATGTTATAAACATCAAATTTGTCTAAAATATTTACGTTTTCAAAAAGTTTTTACAATATAGGTTTTTTTTTCTTTTAAGTTCTTGTATATTACATTACTGACACTGTAAAATTCGGAAGGCCCTGATAAGTGTACACATAAAACTACGGCTATCGGATATTATTATTTTGATTCTCGGTGCCCAGACGTGTTGTACGAAATCGGATAAACGATTGCTACGATCAGTGTACTTATCACCGATAGTTTATCAGTTATTATCAGTTATTACTACTACAAAATCATCGCGTCTCGAAACCAACCGTTCGCGTAAAGCGTTTTAGCGTAGCCGTCATGACATCCGTTTTGGTACCGGTGAGTAGGCGCCCAAGTTCACCGTTCGCAACATTATAGTTGTAATGCATAATAAGCGACGTTATAAAACAGCCGGCCGACATATTATTGTGATACATGTACAGAGTTAACGTTAAAACGCGAATTCAATTCTATATTGTCGTGCATGGAGTTATTGTCGTTAAAAAGTAATGTTATTTATATTGCGTCTACCGCGTAGGTCTGGGGGATACGGGCGGCAAAACGGTTCATTAACCGAGCCCCGAAAGGAAAAAAAAAATATGTAATATATTACAGGTACAAAATGAAAAAAAAAAAAAAAAATAAAAAAAATACAACCGCGCCGAAACAATTTGCCAACAAGTCGCTTTCACTCGACCGTCGCCGCCGCCGCCGCCGCCGTTTATTTTAATTGCCAATTTCGCGGGGAACAATAAAGTTTAAAAACAAAAATCTCAATTATAAACAGAGAGAGAGAAAAAAAAAAAAAAAAAAAAAAAAAAAAAAGCGAAAGAAAAGAAATAATAACAATCGACGAAAAACGCGAATAATTAACGTGATTTTCTGTTATTGATTATCGTTGTTCGGATGGGTCGGTGGCGCCTCGCCGTCGCCGGTACCGAATGTTCTCGCGAACAATTCGGTCGCAGAAATGTTTCCCCGCTGCGGCCGGAAACGCCGCGGCGGACGATTGCAACACGACGCGGTATTCATTTCGCGGCTCCGGGTCGGGGCCGGGGGCTACACCCGTCCCGAATTCGTTCGTCTCCCGCACGGGCCAACATAACGCTGTAACGGTACGCTCGAACGCGGGCGCCGCGCGCTTATTGAAAAAAAAATAAAAAAATACGCCTTCGGGCGTTTCGAACCCGTCACTATTTTATCGGACTCGTCGAGCCTGTTTGGTTTTCCGAGATTTTTCCGAAAACCCACACGAAACGAAGGGACCGTACACGCCGTGCCTATGTTCGAACGGGTAGTTTCGAATCCGACGGTCGAAAACCTATTTTTCAATCGGATTCGTCGTTCGATAACAATACTCAATCCGCCGGTAACGCAAACAGTAAGCGCACTACAGTCGAGAAACTGCAATATTATCAGGCCGTCACCGATACGCGCCCCGCGCGCCACTGGCGTCACGTGACACCTCGAAGATATACACGTGTACACATTATACCGGGCGTTAAACAAACATTTTTTCGCCTCAATAATGTGTAAAACTTGATTTGATGATCAAACGCCAACAACAATGTCGACACTTTCAATGTACGGCGGCAAAACGAGTCGGTATATTATAGCGTTAAGAATGAACGTATTTCACGTAACATGACCGCGCTAGCGTGCAAGATACGTTTCGTCAGTAAAACCACTGGTGGGGGGAGGGCTGAGCTCCGGCCCAATATTGTCGACGGGAGGGTCGCGGTCCCGGAGCCTCCAACAGTACTCGGCGCCTGCGTTCTCAGATATAACGAGAAAGTATGCCGTAGAACCGTAGTGCCGAGTTATCGTAAAGCGGTTTGCATATATAATATACACATATATGTACAGGGTGACCGGGAATATATGTTACGGCAATTTTCTCACACATATAAATATGCGGAAAAACGGAGAAAAAAAAAACCAGACAACGGTCGTATTAAATATAGTTAGTGTGGTATAATCTAAGACCGTACGCGGTCTTGACATTGTAGTTGGACGCCCTTTGACGGTGAACGGGACGTTTGAGGGTCAAATTTTTTTAAACCCAAACGAGAACCTACGTTTTTTTTTTTTTTTTTTTTTTTTTTCTGGTTTTCGACGAATGTCAGCGGCCGACAAGCGTATTCGAACGGAAAACGCATTGTCCGAGAGCGATTCGAAGTGTGCACACCGCGAGATAGCGTCCCGTCGCAGCATCCGCGGTAGTATGTGATGATAAGCGTCGGTAACGTGGCGCGGGCGCTACGGACACTGCGACTATAAGCACTTCGTCGGAGAAAAATAAGAAAAGGCGCACGCGTAAAAATACGCCGATAAGACGCCGGCAGCCCCGAACGTTTTCGCCGCGATAATGTGCGCTCGGGAACCTGTAAAAGTCCGAACCGTGTCGCGTACACTATTATTATATACGTATTATGATGTACAGTATGTTGTTTTCGTCGTCGTCACACCGCAATGATATTAACACGGTGGGTCGTGTTAACGCGGTTTTGTCGTCGTCCGGCGCGGCGCCAGTTTTCGGTCGGCGGCGGCGGTCGACTTCAATATAAAAAAAAAATACTAAAAAATATTACATTATTATGTTATACAACGCGTTGCCGCAGAGGAGCCCGACGACGACGTGTGTGTATTATGTACGCGAGAGCGTGTGTACAGGCGACGGCGCGAGCAGAGGAGAGATACACACACACACACACACACACACACACACACACACACGCATACGCGCGCGCGCGCACACTGACACAATCGACCGTCGAAAATTGGTTTTCCTCTATTGTTACCACACGGGGGCATCACCGGTAGCATTGTCTTGGGGGCCGGGATACGACGACGCGTTCACGACGGGCGCCGCTAATTATTATTACTGTACGGTCGCGAGACGGAGCCGAGAGAGAGAGAGAGAGAGAGAGAGACACATACACACACACAGACAGAGAGAAAACTACTACTACTACTACTACTACTACTACTACTACTACTACTACCACTACTATACTACCACTACTATTACCACTACTACTATTACTACTACTACTATTACTACTACTACTAGAACGTATATCGCGTACGATATACTACTACACGCTCTGTACACGGAGTACGCGTCACGGAGAAAAGGCGGGCAAACTTAAATAGAAACGCACACACGCGCACGAATGTTACCTACACGGTCGACGCGTGTATTATGTGTGCGCTCTCGCGGTGGATCAGCCGCCGCGACACCGCCGACACCTATACCCGTGCCTATAACACGCATGCGTACGTATTATAGTGACGTTATTATCGCCGCGATATGCGTACTGCGGTATAATAATAATAATAATAATAATAATATCGTAACGATTAATTGTCCGAGACGGCGTTATTATTTCAATACGTTACAAAAAGGACGCCTCCTAGACGACGACAAACGGGAGCCACTCTCAATAATACACGTAATATTGTCTTCGCCGGAGCCTTTTGTACGACGATATACCCGCCCGAGGGTCGCGCCTTCCCGTATCCTCTTCGTTATTGTTGCCGCGGTGACGGCGTTACCGTAAACTTTTACTATATACGCCCGAACGTCAATACCAGCAAATGGTGGAACGATCCGGTGTTACACGCTCCGTGGCTGCCCGTGTTCAACGAGAGAGAAAAAAAAAACACCGTGTTTCCTCGACATTGGGATATCACTGCGGTCGACCGTGTTTGTCCGTAAATGCGTTCGAAAACGCCCGTGACAACCGAATCAATTAGTTATAACTGTTTTTCCCCCGTCCTTGTCACCGGCGATTTTAAATCAACAATAATAAAAAAAAAAAAAAAAAAATTCAAATTTTCGTTCCAATGACACCACCGAAAACCCCTTTGTCAAATGAATTCCCGGTTGAAATGCATAGAAATAATCTTGAAATTGTAGATTTTCAAAGCGAACAAAAGCAAGGAAGGAAAACAAAATTATTTTTATTCATTACCAACGAGGTAACTAAATAAATAAACAAAAATACAAAATAACACCTATACGGTTCCGAAACAATTTTTTCGTAAAAGTTCGCGTATTTTCCGGTCTGGAACGCGGTTGTACCGGGGAAACGGGGCATAGGCTCCGGGCGCAACTAACGCGAGAGCGCAAATGTTCCAACGAAAAGAACACGCAGAGTAAATTTTAATCCGTCGTATTTTAATTTTAGATTTCGAGCGGAGCGATGAAGCCATTCGCCGTTTAACGACGGTATAAAACGTTGCGTTCGTTTTTCTCGGATAACACTTTTCTGACGTTCGGATTATTTCATAATTCAAGATTCCTGACGACGGTTTTCAGTGATATTTTCGCAACTAAAACCGTGGTGGAGGGCGTTTTTCAGATTTCGCCCCGGGCACAATAATAATTGGTAGTTGTCCCGGTCCCGGTCTAGAACACCTAGTATGTATATAAATATTTGCTGCGTACTAAAATTTATTATTATTATAGTTGCTACGAATTCGACCGATAATATTTTGTGATTTTTTTTTTTTTTTTTTTAACATACGCTATATTATAGCCTCGATTACAATATGCGCGAGTGAAAAATGCCGCGCGTTTATTTCCGAGAAATAATAATATTTCCCCTCCGAATTTACCACCCGCAGATTTTCACATCGAATTTCCGACAGCGATTCGTATTAGTACATTATGTGTTCCTTCAAATGCGATTATGTAAGACATCTGCAGGATGACGAACGGAGCGGAATCTGCTGTCGTTTAAAAATAATTATCCGGTGCATGAAAAGCTCACGCACAAATCATTATCATTGTGACGTGTAAACGTTTATATTTTCGCACAGATTCCGGTAGGGGATTTTCGTTTGTTTTCGTTTTGGAAAACGCGTGTATATGTAGATTCTGAGTGGAACGAGGAATGTATTGGTTTTACAATGATGTTAGCTTTTATTTTTTTTTTAAGTGAACACTTTTTCTACCAGAAAGCATATTCCGATTATCAAGTATAGCACCTTTTCTGAAAGTAAATATTCTCTGTGGTGGTACTTTGGTGAGGTCATTTTTTGGAATTCTCATTAATGTTCGAGATCATGAGGAAAACCTCGGTCTTTAGATTAAAAAAGCCTGAAAGATTAAAAATAAGGTCGTCATTGACAACCGTTTTTATTTATCTTTTGTTATTATTAAGTTTTTACTATTTTAATCTTTTTTGTATAATTATTGTTGTCACGGAAACACACATTGTTATAATCATTTTACTATAATATGACATATACCATATTTTGTATTGTTGAAAACAACACTATCAACTGAACTCCGCTCAGAATCGTTTTTTCGTTGGCAACGGTTTATCGTTGTTTACATATATTAAATTCCCGTCCGTATTTACCTTCTTGACTTCCCACCTACAGTAGTGGCTGCATGCACGTGCGAAGTATGTTCGACCATTTTGTTTTGTTTTTTTTTTTTTTTAAATCGTATCACAATAATCTGCAATTGCAGCAGACTCGTAAGTTATAACTGATATAGGTCATGTAGGTATCTTTATTTCACTACCATTTCGCGGATTCTACTTTTAAAAAGTATAACAAATACTTAATTTTATGACACGATTATTATAATTTTCGTACGTAAATGGTAAACACAATAGGAAACAAGAAATTCTGAGTGGAATAGTGCGAGCCGTGTCTTTTCCCCAATTACCCATGGTAATCTGCGGGAATCGACAAATTTTCCGTTTGTCTTACGGTTTTCCCGTTCACTGAGAAATAACGACCATGTACAGTAATCAAAAACTGACCTCCGCAATGCGGCGCCGACTAAACGAAATTTGACTTTATGAAAAAGACGCTGCACGGCACTTGACGGTTGAAGAGAGATTTCCGGTAGAAAAATGTCGTTTTGCGGACACACGGCGAAAAGCAAGCGTCACAGTAAAACCAACACGCAATAAATTTCTCGCTGCACCCGGAATCTACGTGGAAAAACACTGCCCGCAGTTCTAATATTGTTATGACTGCGCGTATGCCGACGCGACAAAAAAGAAATCTTTAAATTTCGTTGTCTATACAAATAATGTAGTCGGCGGGCCGATCGACCCGCGATTCAAACGGTGCTTTTGTGTACGTGAACGCCGATCGTTTATTATTTTCTAAAGTTTTTTTTTTCCACCGTTTTTTGTAGAAATCGCGTGCTGTACGGCTAACTCGACGATAAACAATATATTGTTTACCTGTGCGTACAACAATATTATACAGGATGATCGATCGGCTCGCACCTACGCCGGGCTGTCTTTCGCAGGCACTCGCGGGGAGATTCACCCGACCGTAATATACGGTTTCGACTTTCAGCACGATGAAGACGCCGACGTCGTCGTCGGACGGCGTTTATTCTCCGTGCAAGAATATATATATATTATTTTCTAGTCGTCCGTACACGGGTACACCTATACACACACACGCGCGCGCACACACACACACACACACATATATTTATACATTTATATACATACACAGCAGTATAGGTTGTGTATAAATAATATATAACGACTCGGTCCGAGAGCGATAGAAGCGGGTAAACGACGACGACGACGACGGCCGATACGAAATCCGATAATAAATCCAAACTTTCTGACGTGCGCGGCGGCGGACGTGTAGAGAATAATATTATATTATTATTTACCGTAAATAATATTATATAAAATGTACTCGGATGTATAAATGTGTGCGGGAACGGTAATATATAATAATAATATCGTATAGCGGCGGTATAGAGTGGAGAAATGGAAAGCCGGTGGTGAGAGGGTTTCGTCAATTATTATATAGAGATTACTATTATTTCCTACCGTTATTTTATTTTATTTATTATTATTATTTTTTTTTTTTTCATATAAAATATTAAACGTATAATTCTCCGCGTACGACGGCGGCAGCGGCGGCGTACATTAAAAAAACCGGGTAAGTCACGAAACTCCGGTCGCTGAAAGTCGAGAATGATAATAATAATAATAATAATAATAATAAAAACTACCGGCAGCCGGTCGTATTGCGACTCGCGGTAAATGAGAAAACGTCGTCGGCTATTATTATTATTAATAATATTATATCCAGTCACGACGAGATGACAAAACGCTCGCGGTTTTTTCGCCGCAAGTTTTTACCCCGTATACCCGCAGACCGCGTTTGCGTGAACACGTCGTCTCGTGTCCTCTTCGCCAACGCCGTCGTCGTGGTTGTCGCCCGTAACGCAGTATTGCGTCGTAATTGTCGGTGTAGGCTACACAGACAGTCGCTGGTCGGCTCGTGTCCGCGCGTAAGACGGACGTGTCCGACAACACGCGCACCGTTGCGGGGCGAAGTTTCCGAATACGCCTGCGGAGTAGACCCGCGGAAACTCGCGGTCCGAGCGTCCCGCGACCACGGGAGCGGACGGGAGCGAACGAGACACCGTTGCCGCGATGGACCGCGATGTTCAGTGTTTAACCGAGTAAAACCGTATTACGTTCTGTACGCGAAACGTACATTTCCACGCGATATCACAACAACATCACACCGGCGTCTGTCATTTTTTTTACTTTTAAAAAATAATTTTACTCTGGCCCGGGTACAACGTATTCGGCGTAATCATAACCCAACGATAACAAAACAAAAAATAAAACCGAATTACAAAATCGTTGGCCGCATTGTAAACCCGAACTGTCTATCTTAGTATAATTTTAATTGTTTGATTACTACTCTACTTGCGATTTGCGTTTCTCTAAGAATCTAAAATCTCCGCCAAGACGCTGGGAAGGCGGCCGCCAACCGTGCCAAATCCTACCCCCTCCCGCTTTGTAGACACGCCTATGGCCGAGACTTTAAGAGGGCGTGATTGTGTTTTATTCGTCTTACAAACGCGCGACATAGCGAATTCGCGTCCAGCACGAACAACATTGCGCTGTTGGCTTTGATATCGGAGTGAATCGACCTAAAACTCAAAGGTATGAACTGCATTATTCGTGCCACGCCGGCGTTATTTTATCGATACTTCACACGTTCATAAGAGATACGAGGACGCGCGATTTCGCGATTTAATATCGCGTCTGTATCGGATTTAAAAATTAAAACATCGAAAAAATAGTGGCAACGTTGCACAACAGCAATGGTCCCGTGTTTAGAAATTTGATTAATTCGCTTTAACATGAAAACCGACTGCACAAAGTCGTCACTGTCTAACGGAAATCTACTGCGTCGTATACGTTTGTAAGACGGAGAGACGGCACATGCGGATATCGCGTCTCCGGTGTACGGTCAAAATATTATACGCGTTTCGTGTTTAATAAGCTGGTATAACGCGCGAACGGGTATACCAGACATAATACGCATCGGCCATATAGGAGAGAACGTGTGATTATAATAATATTGTGCGCGGAACTGGTTTCTCGGGGATAGTAAACAATAATAAACGCGCACCACGACGTGTGCACATATCATGGCGATTATTAAAAATAAAAATAAAATATGACTACACAGTCCCAATATTTAAGGGGTCACGTGTAGGCGATTCGAGCAATTTTTTGTTGAGAAAAATAACGAATATGTATCGACTCGAAGATGTTGGAATAATTCACTTTTATAAGGTGGCAGTATCGCGTGGCGAGTATCGCAAGTGACGAAACAGAAAAAATAATAATTTACCGTTTTTATACTCGTTATATATGAAAATTATCACGTATCTATTAATACGCGTCTCAGTAAATTTTACTAGAAAGAAAGTTTTTTTTTTTTTTTTTAACGATATTAAATACGTGAATATTTAAAATAAATTAATATTCGACCAAATGCCGGACGTGACGTTATTCGGGTTCGCGGAAAAACCGTTTCCGGACGACAATAATTGGCGCACCGCGGTTACATACGGACGGAGTAATAACAACAATTCGCCAAGTAGTTTGTTTTTTTTTTTTTTATTTATTTATGTTAACGAGGCGAGATAACGCGGTTGCGGCGACACGTCCGCGGTACCGTTTTTTTTTTTCGAGTCCGCGCACAGGGAGCGGCGGAGAAACCGAACGAAAATAATAATAATACGGACCGTGACCGGCATATAATCGTAAACTATAATATTATTATACGCGATTGTATGATTTATGCGCGAATAAAAAAAATTAAAAAAAAAAAAAAAAAACACCGAAACAGTCTCGTAATATACTCGTAAACATTATATTTTAATCGGTCGTATAACTTTAATATTATTATTTGCGTACAAATTCGGGGGCGCGGCGCCGCGTTTGACGGCATTTTTTCGGGGCCCGGTGCGATAAACACGGTAACGTCGCAGCGGACAGGAGTTGTAAAGGAAAGGCGGAAAAAAAAAAACGAAATTAAATTTAAAAAAATAGCGATAATAAATAACTGGACGTATACATAACGGGCGAGCCAGCGTCGTCGTGGGCGAGGAAAAGTGTGGATGGTTAAGATAAATATTAGGGGGCGTTATAATATGGCGTTCATATCCGCACGCTGCAACGATAAAATATCGCGAAACGAAATACGATTCTGAGCGCGGTCCGGTTAAACACGTGTGGATCAATTTGCGTTTCAAATCACCATATTGTATTCATTTTGACAACTATTCGGTGCTAATTGCAAGTCTTTACTACGATCTGTGTTTGTATGTCAGTGTTTACCTACTTCAACTCAATCAATTTGTGAAATCCTTAGAAAACTATTAAAAAAAAAGAAATCGATATTGTTAATAAAAACGATTGTGCTTGTGATCTTGCAAAAAATCCAACGTACAAACACGGATAACGCTGTTGTCTCGACAGAATTCTGATTCCTATTTACGGGTACTGAGTATACTGTTCTCCCGGGAAGTTTTTGGAAACGTGTCATTTTTATTGATAGTTACTAAAAAAGACAACTACCGGAAACCGTATTATCGTGTGAATATTCCGGTCGTCCCGCAGGTTTTTCTCGGTTCTCCGCCGTTATTCGGTAAGCTGTACAGAGAAACTCGAAAAAAACGACGTCCGCCCGTAAACGCCGCCGCGACTTTACAGAAAAAAACTCGCTACCGTCACAACGCGACGTACATCGTCACAGCCGCCCCCCCCCCTCTGACGCATTCCTCGCTATCGCCATAACATTGTAATATACTCTAAGAATTTCGAAAAAAAAAAAAAAATCGAAAATAATAACGATAAAATAGCGGACCGAGTGAAATCCGACGCGGGAGACCCGGAGGCCGAAAGTTGTATTATACGGCCGTGGGACACGTTGCGCGCCTGCTGCGGGAGGTCAAATTGCGGCGGGTGACCCTAAAAACCGGGCACATAGCCCGCGCACTATAACACGTGTACATAATGTGTACGTACACGGGCGGTAGTATACCGGTCGTGGGCGTGTGCGCATGCACGCACACGCGCCGGCTCTCATTGATAACGCTCGTACGACCCGCGTGCAACACACACCGGTACCGCTACGGCGCGCGGCGCGCGTCCGCGTCCGGAATTTCCGGTTTTTCGCGGCCGCTTGCGGCGTGTCTGCCGCGCGGCGCGTTTTCTCACGCGCGCCGCGCGACCCCGCGGCACGGTGTGGGCGCGCGCGGCGACCGGCACGGCAGGCGCGGTGCCCGCCGAAAAACGAACCGAGAAAATACGCCTAACGCGGCGTTACACGCCGGGAATTAATTGGCTCGCGCGAACAAGTGCCGTTTTCACCGCGGGCCGCGCCGCCCGGCCGGAACTGGAAATCCGTCGGCGCGCTGCCGGGGGGAGGGGGGGAGCGGACCCCGGTCGGCCGGCGGTCCATAATGTTCGCGGCGGCGGCAATACGCGTTGTTTACAGCGCGGCCGTTGATCGGAATCCCCCCGGAAATTGCCGACGCCGGAGCCCGGAAACTTCGTCTGCGGTTCGCGGACCGGTTCGACGTGAGTAATCGTGCGGCGTGCGTGGGTCTTCGTTTGAAAATCAAAAAAAAAAATTCAATCAAATATTCCGGAAAAATACTTTCCGCGAGATGGTAAGTGCCGTTGCGCGTTTACGTTGCTCGCCCCGTGTTTTTTGGCCCCGTCAAGCGGTACGCGTCTACGGGACACCTCCGAAGGACGGTCGCATCTAAACAGCGATCATTTTTTCCCGTGCCCTTGTATGAAAGTTTTACTGCATTGTGTACGGATATCCTCGGTGATTCGTCAAAAACCTTTTTTTAGCCGATCCACATAACACTTTTGGAGAAAAACGTCTAATATCGTTGGAAGATACGATAAAAAGTGTTCCCGACTAAAACCGTTTTCAATCGATCAATATTTATTGGGAGTTACACGATTTCAAAAACGGCTCACGGTTGTCAGTTTCGAATATCAGGTATAATTATATCGGTTATCGGAAAAAAAAAAAAAAAATCAAACTAGGCGCTATTTAATACACCAACATCCCGGAACTGTTTTTTTTTCTCTTTCGATTTCACGAGGCATCACTGCGTTCGATCCGATACACCGATGGTGTACGTATAGTGCGACGGAAGGTCGAGAGAATGGATCGATACCGTTAATAATAATGTGATCGATCGGCGGTTTTTCGACCGAAATATAATAACACAAGACCACGGTACTGGAAGTGTACGAATAAAAGTGTCGTTATCAATCAAGGGGTGGCCGTGATGTGTTATCAATCCGGACGTGAGGGGTAGGGCTACCAACGCGGTAATAATAATTATCAGTGCAAATACCATCGCCTGTAAATGTTGAATAATGATAATAATACGCGTCGATCACAATAACTGCAATAATAATGATAATAATAAGCGAACAGCGTTTGTGCGGTAGTAAAACTATTCTTTCTTTTTTTTTTTCATATATCTATAATGGTAAGTACGCGAGAGGAACGGAGACGGGAGAGGGCCACCGAGGGGCGGCGTTCGGAAAGCGCGTAATCCGTGACGAATTTCCCGCCATTGGTCAAAACAATGCGGTTTATAGTTTGTTCTTGCGCAATGCGCTCGTATATATAATATCTTTTATGTATGCGCGTATACCTACACAAATCGGATTCTCGACGACGATAATAATAATATAATGTGTATTAAAAAGCCCAAGGTATATATCTATGTATATCGAACTGCAGTGTGTGTGTGTGTGTGTGTGTGTGAATAATAATAAAAAAAAAAAAAATAAAATAAAAGAAATATACATATATATTCTCGCGGCTTTCTATTCTGTGTGCGGTTTGCTATTGTTCTAGAAAAAAAAAAAAAAGAGAATAATAATAATACCTAATAATAATGCGCGTACGGATAACGACCCGAAAAAAAAAAAAAAAAATGTATTCTAATTTCGATCTCAGCCGGCAGCCGCACCGCCGCGGTCCATATAGCCGTCGATACTCCCACCGTCGTCGTCTAACCTATCTACACCTGTATAACACAACATCGCGTCTATCTCGCACAATATAATATTATTTATATATGTATATTGTTAAATTAACAACAACAACAACAACAATAATAATAATAATAATAATAATAATAATCTTAATCGTATTCGTATAAAATATATCGCATACAATATTTGCGCGCGCGCGCGGGGAGATTATATAAAATATGTGTATCGAAATAACAATAATAATGATAATGATAACGCGCCGCCGAGGTCGAGCGCGTAGATTATAATAATAATAATAATATCATTATTATTATTATTAGCGGAGGCTGCGACAAAAAAGTAGGTTAATAATTCTATCGTAACGGGAAATCAGATCGGCGGCCATCGATCGACACGGCACTACACGATACGTATTATCATTCGTTTATAGATAATAATAATAAAAAACGCGTCGCGGCCACCGACGGGAGACGCGCGAGATCGTAATTTTCGCACGGCGAGATATTATACGCGATTTCCGTCAATTATTTACTGTACGACGACGTGGTTTTTTCGGTTTTCTTTTTCGAACGCGCTAATACCGCGAAAACTGCCGCGCGCTGAGACCGTCTTTTCGGCGAACGTACGGGGCGGCCAACGCAGAACACCACCGTGCGTATGCATACTCGTGTATGTATAACAGCACCGGTGAAAATGCACAAAACGGACCGGCGTGACTGGCAGTTAATAAGACGTTACGAATGGACGCGAAACGCGAGAGGATGGGAAGGAGAGAAAGATCGAAAAGTAGATGCGGACCGGAGACACGATTGAGAACTGTGCTGTACGATACTGAGACACGGTTACAGACGATTCGATCAGACGGTGACCGATTTACCGAGTAAATCCGGAAAAAAATGTTATCGATCAACCCATGAAACACAATTCGTGTGTGTCGTGAATTGTGTGATGAATACGCGCACAGTATGTGATGGCACGAACAAATATTCGAAACTAATTTCAACGTCATTTCTACGTCATTTCACGGGTCAATCGGTGTAATTCGTCCTCTACCGGCGTACGGCTGCCGAGTTTCTTCTTTCGGTACTCCAATACCGCATGTACATCGGTCGCCTATGAAGTCGTTTTTTTCACTCGTGGGCGAGACCGCGGGACCGTGTTGTATAAGATAAAGTCGCAGACGGCAGACAAAAAAAAAAAAAAAAATAGAGCAGAAACGAGAGCAGGGACGTCGTTTGGGGTGCAGGGTGTGCATTCGCATCAACTGTTTTTAAAACGTCTTCTTTGGCCTGCCAAATAAAATATAAGCTCCGACATATCTATACATATATTGAGTTAGTATTTAAGATCACTATGGACGTGTAGGAAACAATTGGTGGTCAACCGCGTATAATTGGCAGAGAAGGCAAAAGAAGAAGAAGAAAAAAAAAAGGTATCCACAATCGTGGCCTGGTAACGATTTGAAACGGCCATGCGAACACTTTGGCACCAGCGATAAAAAATAAAAAATCGAACCGACGCCCCGCTACACTAGACAATGAAAAATACGACGCGGTAGATCGAGTCGATATTATTTCGGGACGGAGCGAATAGAAAAAAAAAAAAAAAAAAACCGTGCGCAAAAAACGGGCGCACGCGACCCGCGGTCTCGGTCGACTGCGGACGTGCGTGCGCCCGGCGACAAAACGACGACTTCCGAAGAATAAATACCATTTTAAACGTTCGTTAACTACCGTCGTTACATATTATTATGATTGTTATTATTAGCGGGTACACCCGGGAATAACAATGAGCGGCGAGGCGTGTCGCAAAGCGCGTCCGTAAGTACGCACAATGAGCTCCTAACGCGCGCTGGTCTGCGTGATGCGCACCCAAACCCGTGATTATCATTTATTTATTATTGTTTTTTTTTTTTTTTTTTTTTTTTTTTTTTTTGTGTTTTCGTAGTAATATTACGTTATACACTGCGCGCGCTTTATTAACTGCGGACATCGGCGCGATTTTTATTTTTAAAACGCATTTGATTCTCTGCGGCCGCCCGAACCCGAATATCCTGTACCTGCTATTATAATATAGTCGCGTGAACATAACACGGTGCATCGTGTGTGCCCGGCCAACGGTTTTCACGGCCTATTCGTACGCTCGAAACAAATGAAACTACGGTAACAGCCGGCTGTTATCGCGTGCAATTTTTTTTTTTTTTTTGTTATGAAAATCTGTCGAATAAATATTATGCGTACTCGAGAAATATACAACAAACGGTTGTTAGCGAAAATCACGTAACAATTACTTATCGACCGAATTCGACGATTTTTCTCTTCTTTTCCTCCTCCGCCTTTATCCCGGAAATTGTTCGAGGTCGGGCCGCCCTCGTCGTAAACTCCCGCTCGACTCCATCTCTGACTCCGTATATTGACTGTTGTCCTCGTATCATTCTCAATCACACCCCACCAAATCTTTTCGGTATTCCTCTATTTCCCCCTACGTTTATTTTCACTATCATTCTTACAGCTTCTGATTCCTGTCGCCACTCTTCTCACGTCAAGCCCGAACCGTCTCTGTCCGCGTATTTTCTTTCGTTTTTGATTCTTCATCACCGCCGGAAGGTTACTATGATATCCACTATACGTTTCGCCGAAATCGGACGAGTATAATTATACATAGCTCTAGAGATTTCCAGTAGCATTATTAAAGACAGAATATGCGCATTTGGTTGACGGTCGGAAGAGGGTTACGGCGAAAGTGGGGGAAACAGTGGAAGTGATGCGCTAGCGCCACCCAGGCGAATTTACCAATTTGTGACCGGCAACGCCGCGCGGGACAGCCAGCTATGATGAGGTGCAAACACAAACGTACGCGATTTTACCGTATAAAAACGGTTGTTTTTTATTTTTCAATTTTTTCGACAAGTCTCTGAAAGACGAGTGACCGCGGTACACGCGCGTGTCGATTAAAACGCGTACGGGCGCGATATTATAATATTATTATATTATCGTACGAGTATAGGTATACGTTATATGCTCGCGCGCGGCGATTGCGATCGCAGTTGAATCTACTTCATCCACCGCTATAATGCCTATCTGTATAATATAACAATATTCACGCGCGCGCAGTCGCCTTTTTTTTCCCCCGCGGGTTTGTTTTTTTTTTTTTTTTTTTTTCATTCTATTTGGTTTTTTTTTTTTATTTTTTCCCCCGGCTATTTATATTTTTTACTTTTACACCTCGCGACGCCGCCGAGACCCATTGTTGCGGCCCCGTCGTCCGGCCGTAAATCAACCGCGCAAAACCGTTTCTTATTCGCCGACGCCGACACCTGTTGTCGCGCGACCCGAGCGCTGGACACCGTTGAATATGCAATGCGATGCAAAACCCGCGTTAATATCCCGCGGTACACCGCCACTGCCGCCGGCCACTTGCGCCTTCACGTCCCGATTGTCCGCGATACGTTTTATTCCTCCGCGGATTTTTTTTTTTTTTTCTACGCAGAATGCGTCGAGGGTAACGAGTCAATCACGACGACGACGACGAGTCAGATTGTAATATAATACGCGTGCCTAGACGATACGCGAGACGGGCGATTTTCGTTCGAACATTCCCTCCTCTCCCCCCTCCCACCATTCATTCCTCTCCGCCCCGCCGCCACCTTGAAATTTTCTGAATATTTCTACTCGAGATAGTACACGAGCGCGTATAATATAGCGAATAAGAAGCTATTAGGTTTACAAAGGCGCGCGCGATTGTTACACCGCCCCTCCCGCCTTCCGGTCAGTGAAAACGGTCCGATCGCTCGCGCGCCGCGTCTCCGCGGGTTACAGTTGGGAAGACGCCTTTCCAGCAACACAAATAACGTATTATCATCATGGCGTTACAGTCCAGTGTACGGTGGAACGTTACGGCGGGCAGATCGCGTTCGGAAGGGAGTCAGAAACGATTTTCACGCGGGGCAACGGAAGAGAGAACTCGAAATAAAACGCCTACAGGTCCGGCGGAGACGTGGCGCGGGATCCGCAAACGGTTTGTCCCCCCGAGCGGCTGAACGGAGCGGCTGGCGCGGGTAGAAGTCGCGAGGACGGGCGGTGGTGCGACGGGACGGTCCTGCAGACGCATAGTGACGGCCGGTGACCCCCGTGAAAAATAAAGAACGGGAGATTTACGGAATGCGCGCGCACACGCGCATAGTACGAGTGCGTGCGTTTCCAGGCGGATTCGATTGTCCGCGGACCGCGGAATTCCGGGCGCGAGAAAAATCCGGCCGCTCGGCGTCGACGGCCGGGGCGCGTGACGACGGCGCGAGCGAAACGGACGACCGCAAACGCTAATTACGCGCGCTCGGACGGGGCACGTTCTTACACGCCGTACACGTTATTATATTACGCGATATTATAGTATTGTACACTGTGCACCGGCGCGGGAAACACGCGAAACATCCATGCCGCAAGTGTCCGCGGGGCCGCCGGCGTAACGCGTTTCCCGCCGGAACACCGTTGTTCGCTTGCCGGCGTCCGTGTGACGAGACGGCAGCGACGGCCGCCGCGGCGCGTGACGTCACACGGCACCGGCGTCAGCGCGTCGCGCCGTGTTCGTGTGGTCGCGGGGATATTTGTCGCGGGCGCGCCGCGACGGCCACTTGACGAAGAGCTGTGCGCAAACGTCGACGCGGGTCGTACTATAAGCGGTTCGCAGGGTTCGCGGGCTCGAAACTGTAGCGTTGGAAAAGCTGCTTGATGCGCGCCGAAATTATTATTGAAAACGTGTTTTGAAAAAGCAATATAAATGTTCGACATGAGCGAGAAAAGCGATTTCGAATTTCGCATCGGTGAACTCTCGAGTCTTGTTATCAACGCTATATACGCCCGGATTCACATCGCCTCAAGCCCCGGCGACGATTGACGCGACAAGTAGATCAGATAACAAAACCAAGAACCAAGAAAAGTGTAGGGTACAAAGACGAAATTATTTAAACGAAACTATAGGGGAGTAAAAAATCCGGGTTGAACAGAAAACTCAGTAAAAATGAGCATGTTTTTACCTTTATTTATCTGTATTAAAACACTGACAAATTATGTATTTGAAACCATTGTGTAAACACGATATAGAGGTCCATTGGACTCTGCTCGATTTCATGCCAAGTATAAAAATACTGAGATTTTTTTCGTTTATGCCGTACCTCAAAAGACGCTGATTAATCGTAGATTTTTCGAAATTTCCAACAAGTTTTCAAAAAAATCGCTTTTATATTTCGGTTTTTTTTTTTCTCTAATCAGTTTTAAATGCTCCGATTTTTTCGCGTAGTTTAATAAAAGATGCGAAATTTCCGTTTAAATTTCTTATGCAAAACAATTTATCGACATTTTCAATATAGTTTATCCCCTAAATTCGTTTTTTTTTTTTTCATCTTTCTTGATTTCTTATTTGCATTGGCAACAAAAACATACACTAAAACCTTTTGTATTATAAGAAAAACAAAAACCACGTACCTTCGACGAGCGACGTGAGGAGCGTTACGTTCGCGGCCTTTCTCCGTCCGGCGGGCAGGTTGAGACCGATCTTTTCGAGCTTTTCGCGCAACAGTCGACCGCCGTTTTTGGATTTCGCCCTGAAAAAAAAAATAATAATAATAAATAAATTAGATCATAATAATTTTCCTTAGTTATAGGTTTTACGGAAAACACGGGGAATTTCGGGCGCAATTTCGTGCAGAAAAGCCAAACAGTATAGATGATCCGTATTAATATTTACAGGAGTATATTGTAGGAAAGAGAATTGAATACATGCTCGTAACATTTTCGAGCGCGGGATTGAACATATTAATATATTCAATTTTCATTCATCACGGTGAGATAAATATTATATTATTATGAATGAACAAAAAACCAGTCGAATTTCGGCCCATTCTATACTCACCGCGCTGGTAAATGAATATTTATGAGCGCACGGTCAGTAAAACAAAATGGAATAAATATAAAAACGTGTTACGATACGTTCTGAACGCACGTGTCGCCGATGTCATTCATTAGGATAAGAATCGAAATTTTTTCACGAGGCGTCTCCCCACGGTTAGTTCTTTGATACATTAAATTTGAATAATTATACTTTCCATATTAGGGTTTATTAAAATGTTACCTTTACGGAAATAATAAGCCGTTCTATGTTTTTTAAACACGGGCAATAGCAGCGGTGTTCCCAATGTTTTTTCGACAGAATATTTAAAGTCCGGCGCCCTATATAATGCATTTTATATTATATTGATATTTTTAACTGCTGTATTATATTGTTGCGTATATAAATTATACAGAAATTAAAAAAATTATTGAAAATCGTGAATCTTTTCGTTATAAATTACGCTGGAATTAATACAAGTTGTTATTTGTATTTCGGTTTTAGTGGTACACGTGATGGTATATCATCATAATATATTAATAGAATAATAAAGTAAAAACAAAATTACATTAAATGGTTATTCAAATTTCGCTAAACATGTTTTAGAAAATAACCATAGCATAAGTTTTGATGTTAATACAGACCTTTAGACATATAAATACATAAAATAACATTTACATTAATTCGGTTATAGAAAAATAATTACACATACACAACGAAATAAAGAAAAATAATTTATCAATATTTTAAATGTAAAAACCGATTTTAAAAATAATATCTTATATCAATACATTTTGGATGATAAATAATGACCAAATAATTTATATTTCTTAACATGTCTGTGCCTAATAATAACTCATTTTAAATAATCGCTACTCCTGTTAAAGTAAATTATTTCTACGTAAAACGACCAATTTGTACAATTTTTTTCTCTCTATGTATTCTGTCATTTATTTTTCATTTTCAGTCACGTTTTAATTTTTGAGCGTGCGATTTTACCTGATGATTAAATTTAATTGGAAACCGGTCGCGTACAATACACATACCATAATTCTCCAGACGACGCATTAATTAATTAATTAATTTATATATTAATAATACATTATTACGAATTTGTTTCGTTTCCATTCGAGTGTATAATGCGCAGTAAACCAGTTTTCAACACAATAGTAAATACTTCGTGTAATGTAGAATATCCTGCGACCTGCGGGAGGACCATCACTATACGCACGTTTTTGTCTACGAATTAAATGGAACGTTTCAAATGACCATCAGCAATAGATGTCTATAGATGTCACATGTGCAAAAATGTAATTTTTAGATTTTCAGTCTCCGCATTTTTCCGCGGAACACGCTCGCGTTGATTGATTCTGACAGCATCAATCGATTTTTCCCGTCGATTTCCTATCAAGAATCAATATCAAATTCGATTTGGTAAATTTTTACAAAACTATAAGTTTTGATATTTGACAGTTTATAGCCGATGATTATTTTCGCTTAAATTTAGCGGCATTACACTCGAGTTTCAATATTAAAACAAACAGAAACGAAAACATTTTATCGTTTTAGCCCTTAAACGAAAGCTCTCGCTATCTCGCCCAGTGGTATTCACTTCCCGGCGATTATTATTTTTTTTATTGCGCGTATTCTGTTCGTCTCGACACGCGTAGGACAACTATATAATAGAGGTATATAGTAGACTATAAATTTGTAAGTATATACCCGTGTCTCATAGGCGTAAAATGATTAAAAAAAAACCTCAACGACCGTCGTTAAAACCGCGAAATAAAGGTTTTGAGTTTTTTTTTTTTACGATTTAAGAAATTTATATTTACCTATCTGTTATATGATATATATTATACAAGTAGGTATTATAAAAACGCGTTAAGTGAATTTTTAGGGTGTACCGCGTGGTTTTATTTTAGTGTTTATATCACAGTGCCATACAACAAGTGTTTTCTGGTGACGCGCTGAGTATTATAATATGGAAAGCTCATTCTCCACCGCCACCGTCGCGTATGGGGATCGTATTTAAAACCGATCGTAAATCTTAAAGATCTTAAAGAATTTATTACGTTTAATAAAATTAATAAAAAAAAAACGTTGTTTATGATATTAAAAAAAAAAAATAATAATAAATGACCTACACGCCGTCGTATTCGCATTTGTATATTATTTAACGCATTTTGTACTTGTAAAATTATAATATAATTTTTTTTTTTTTTTATACGAGTCAATATCCCTTCATCCGGGGGTCACTGAGCTCGTAAAATGCAACACGTTTTTTAATTCACAGCGCGATTTTATGAGATATTGTAATCGATCCAGTCGATTTTTTAGCGGTTTAAATCTATATAGTCGTGCACCGCGGAAGTATACAATTTTACCGGCCTATTTGCAATCGTGTTTTACTCGAAATTATTCTGAAAATAATGTGGCCGGTCGTTTTCACTTTTTGCCCAATCTATATGCGTATTAATGCTAAACTGCTGCTGCGGCAGTAGCTGTATAGCGGCCGATTAGTCGGTCACGTTTTTTCGTGTGTTTTCGTATATTATATTCGTTAAATTCGTTATTATATTACGAAAAAAACACGTTACAAGCCGAACGGGTCGCGGCTATGCGCACAACAATTTTCGTGGGGGGGGGGAAACAGCAGGGAGCAAGGGGAAAGAAATGAAATCGTTCTTTACCTTCTGAGCACGCCGCCTAACAGAGACGCGTTCAAACATTCCGGAGGCGATAGCCTGCGTTGGACTTCGCCGACGGTCACTTTGTACTTGGACGTGGAGCTGAGCAACGACAACCGACCGGGTACGCTGCAAAACACGTCCGACGGCGTCGTGGACATACCTATAACACATAAAACATGGAAATATCGTCATTATAGTGATTTGATTTTTTTAAACGTTCGCGTTAAAAACCCTAGCCTAGCTATATAGCTATATTGCGATAGAAAAACGTGTTATATAAAATACAGCGAACTGAGCGTTTGTATAGGCGCAGAGTTCCGTATTGATAGGACGGTTTGTTCGCGTCAGAAATTTGATCGGCCGCGTGTGCACTTTATTATAGTATACTCAAACTGAGAATTTTGCGGTGACGAGCTAGAAATCCTTTTCACCAGACGGCAGAGGAACTTTGACTTAAAATCGACAATTACGACGGGGGATTCGGTACGTGCGATCGTTCGTTTGCCTATAACCGTTCGAACATTTAGCCATTTTTTCCCCCGTTTCGGCCGGAGGTGACAATTAAACTCTATAGGTACTACTACTACTAATAACAATAATAATAATAATAATAATCGATCGGCGTATAATCGAACACGGGGACACGTCCGCTTCGACTGTATAAATAATATTATTATAATATGCATTATACATAATCACCGCGTCGAAATCCGCCTTTTCGCGGCCGGTTCACATAATATACTGTTGCGCGTAAAGGGCGAGCGACTATTTTTTTTTCGTGTGTTGTTTTTTACGCGAGTAACAATGGAAAGCGCACAAGTAAAAATTCGCGAATACAACAGATGTTCGTGTACTACACATACGGCACACCCCAAATTAGCCGTATACATACGTGTACGTTGCCGTCGTCGTGGTGTTTTTCCGGGGCCGTTACCGGTAGACGCCCTTCCCGGGCACCCCCTCCCCCTTCAAATAGAAGACCGAAAAAAAAATACACACACACAGAGAGTCCACGCGCACCACAATAGGTCGAGGCGTGAAAACGCGGCGGGAAGCGGAAATCGGGAGGAGAAAAAAAACCTATAATATTATAAAAATAATAAAAACACCGCCCAGGCAAACATCGCTGGGCGCGCGCCCAAGACCCAAAGACGTCGTGTAAAATACAATACAATGTTTGTTCCCCGAAACGATACAATAATAATATAGTGTATACCAGGGGCGTATTTGACTGAAGTTTATGGGGGGGGGGCACTTATTTCGCTCCAAAATCCTAACAATATATTAATAGTATTTAACACCATCGCTATGCGCTCACAGGCGTTACACGAGAGTTACACAAATTATTATTATATATTGACAGCAAACGCGTAGCGACCAATTTTACATTGTAATATTGTATTGCGTAACCGGACAATACCCGAATTGTCGGGCGTTTCGTTGCCCAAAGTCCGAAGTACTATACTATATTTTATAGTTTTGTTCGGTCCGAAGTCGGGCGATCCGCAAAGTGTGACACGGGCCATAGCGTGCACTATTGAATTGCAGTATTGCGAGGATTACACGATAATATTTATCGCGGGGCGAAATACGATACACCGTCCATTAACTGTAGCGGCTCGCAAACCGAATTACGGGAACGCGCGTTCTGAGCGGCCAGTTTATTTAATTGTCCAACGGGGACGTGTAACCTGCGAACGCGTTTCGATTTTCGCGACCCGCGGTGTCGACTGCACTGCGGTCGTACGTCAACACCGTCACACAGTTTGCGAGCGTACAGCGCGAAATTTTATGATAATTGACGTAATTACAATTATGGTCGTGCGGGTCTCCGTGTTGCGCCGGAACAACGCGCGGGAGAAAAAATGCGGGCGGCGGCACGGGGGACGGGATATAAATACGCATTCGACGCACACTGGCGGCGGCGCGCCACAAACGGATACCGTAAACGACAGTGGGTCGCAATGATCGTCATTATTATTGTCGCGTACCGTCGGCTCTCGCGCCGCGTGTTCTTCGCGACGCGAATAAAACGACCGTACGCGCACTCGCGGACGCGCGCGCGCCGCCATTATTTCGGTTGTTACGAGAGCGCGTTATCGTTATACACCGTGCATGCGCTACCGGAATTAACGGCGCCGTTCGCGGATATTCGGAATACGTGATTATTCGAGAAGTCGCGGTCGCCGCGGAACATCCGACGAGACTCCGGCGTTCATTATCGAGGGGACGCGGCGCAATAATAACGCGCGGTGAAAATAACCGCCGCCGCCGCCGCCGTCCGCACACGCGTAAACGTAACGATCACGAAATCACGTTCCAGACGACGAGCCCCGTTCCCGCCGCGAGTCTGTCGATTTTCGTACGAGTGCTATTATTATTATTATTATTATTTTTTTTTTTTTCATTCTCTCGGAAAACCGAACGTTCGTTATAATATATGAGCGGGAAACCGGCCGCCGCCGCAGCCCCGAGGGCGCCCGGTTAGCCTGTAAAGTCGCGGGGGGGGGGGAAATAAAATAAAAATGCATACAGATTTATTATAAAAGTAATCATCCGACCGGAACACGGCGGCGGCGTCTATAGCGCTAATATTATTATTATTATTATTATTACTATATCATAATCGTATTATGTGTTCTCGAGATGGCGCGTTATCGGTTTTAACGAAATAATAATAATTATTGTATCCGAATGGGTTCGGCCGAGTCGAAAATCGCGCGCACCGAGCACCTGGGAACCTCGGGCCCCGGGGGCCGGCGGCGGCCAAAGGACCCTCGACGGCGGCTGAGCGACGTCAGCGGGACGTCGAACTTTTTCGATATGTATTTCGGTATTATTTTTTTTTCCTCCCCCCTCCCCCGTTATTGGCCCCGCCGGCCGGCCAATCAGCGACGGATAACCACGAGGGGACAACGGGCGGCGCGATTTTCCACCTCCGAGGAGCTGCGCCGCGCGGAAATATACTCACGCCCCCCAGAAAAAAAAAAAAAAAACATCCGAAGAGGGAAAATTATTACTATTAATAATATAATCGGAATATTCGGCGCGAAAACGATAATCGAGTGTAAGCGAAATGATTCGGGACGCATAATCGAAAAACATAATCGAATGTCCTGGTGAAAATGACGTCGTCGCCGTCGCCACGCGTGTTCGTATACAAATCTCGGAGGCGTTCTCGAGTACGGGTTCTGCAGTGGGCCCCGGGGCCCAAATTCGATGAACTCGAAAATAGGCCCTCTTCACATAAATATTACTGCGAAATATATAATATTGTAGCATAAATGATTTAATAAAAAATAAAAAAAAATAAAATATATTACTCGTATTTGTTTGTATTGTTATAATATTCTCTAGAGAATATTTCCGCGAAGGACATCCGCGGAGAGAATATTCTTAATCATATTGTGAAATTGTAGTAATAGTGAAATGCAAAACGTCAATATACCCACGCCGAACATCATTGATATGGTTTTTAAACCGAAAGAGTGACGATTGAAGAACAAAAAACAACGTAGGCATTGAACAAGATTGTAGTTAAGATTGATAATCATCAAGATTCACAGAGAGTATTAATGGCGGTAAAAGTGTACCCCGGAATCGATACGCGTTTAGATTTCACGAAAGCCGCGCGATTCGCGTAATATTATAATGTTAAATTAATATTTAGTTCGTTAAGACGGTATAAATCAATTAATATTTTACCCATTTATTATTAATAACGACGCGAGTTACGAACGAAAACTTATTATTTATTACGGATTATTTCTCGCCTATACACGAGGTATGTAATTGTATAAGATTAAAAATGCACGTATCTAAACACCCCGTCTCGCAGATAAAACTCGTCACTGATTATTATAAATTATATTATCGTTATTATTGTTATAATTATATTATGTACGTACAGTGGGTGTACTCACGTTTCAGTAGCGGCAAATCGTTCATAAACGAACTGCTGTCGTCCACGTTGTGTTCCTGTTAAGAAAAAAAAAAAAAAAAAAAAAAAAAACGAAATAAAATATAAATATATCGTAATAATAATACGCGCGGTGTGCGCGCCTATAGATAATAATAATAAGCGTTTCAGTAATATCGAAATATTCGTATTCGTGTAACATCCAATATAATAATAATTACACGGTTTGCCGGTAGAGCGTGTATTCATAATATCATGCGCGGACGACGGCTACTGCAGGTCGCTTTGATTGCGAGCGTACGTATATTATAATTTATAAGGAATATAATATTATTATATTATTCTCCTCGTGCGCCCGTGTACACGATAATATTCATTATAACGACGACGACGATCGCCACTGTATAATACGATATTGTATCGTTATGTTATACGAAAAAATCGAAAAAAAAAAAACAACCGTGATTATCGTTATAATGTATATTAAATCGTTATTAACGGAATCGTCTTCGCGTCCGCACACGCGCATATATATGTATAACATTGTAAATAATTATAATAATATAATACGCCGTCACGAAATAATATCGTAAAAAGTATAGTATAATACACTATATAATATAACGTTTTTTAATTTTTTTTTTTTTTTTTTTTATTATTATTATAATATAATATCTACGAGATACGCGCGCGTGTATATATATTTATACATATGTATAGGTTAGGTCGATAATAAATAATTACTATTGATCGCGGCGGCCCGGAGATAAATCGAACGCAAAAGGCCACTTACGGGGAGGAGGAATGGGGGGGGAACACAAAACGCGTATTTCGGATTTATATTACCGTATAGGTACGCGGCTACGTGTGCGTCTATTATTATTATTATTATTATTATTATTTTTTTTTTTTATATTATTATTATTTCGGGGACGTACGTATAACGAGTTATGCGGGGCACGCCCGATTAGAATAAAAAAAAAATAAAAAATTAAAACGCTGCCGTATCTCGGGAGCCGTCCGACGCGAGCGCGCGCGCGCACACACACACACACACACACACACACGTTTAAATGACTTTTCACTGTGCGCAAGAATACCGGTAGGTTTTCGGCGGAGGAGTGTCCCGGTATAATGTATAGAAAACCTATCAAATTGTCCGTTGCCAATAACAATATAATAATTGATATCGTATATTCGTGTTCGTTTGAATCCCGATAACACTAGGCGGCGGTTATAAACCGGGTTCGACGGATGGGGGGGGGGGGGAATTTCGGTTTACGGGATTCGAACGAATTGGCCGCGAACCATATCCCGTCGAGAATACCCCGTTTCAAAAACGGTATAATAACGCATAATATAGACTACATTTCGTATTTCAACCATTTATTTAGATACTGAAATATGTTGAAATAACAAGTTTTAGTAAATACAACACGGGGTTCTAATACGAAAACCCCGATCGATTTCTGTTATTTTCGATTTTTTTTTTTTTTTTCTGTTGCCATTCAATGAAAATATTCGTAGACTTGACATTTTCTTACGGCCGTTGGAAATTCTCGAGGTTTCTATTCAGTTTTACGCGGACGAAATTATTGTTCGGCTTTTGAAAAAAAAACGCGTCACGGAAATCCAATTTCCTGTACGACACTACGCAATTTTAGAATTTATTTTTATAATAAGCGTCTAGGAAGAGTTGTACATTTCGACGAGAATCATAAAAATCACGGAATTCGGCGTACTGTCGGTGTGCGTGTACGAGTGGGTTCTCGTTCAGTGAACGAAATAAAAAAAAAAAAAAAAATGCTCGAAAAGAAACGACGGTCAGTTACAGAGGCTGTATGTAGACGAGACGGGATAAAAATACAAACGAGCGCACGGGGGACTCTGGTGGCGGTGCCGGTGTTGCGTATTCGGGAGAAAATTCCTACGGTAAATCGCGGCGGTCGGCGCCGCGTTCGCTTTGTGCGTGTAATTAAAAACCATCATCGGATCGCGCGCGGTCGTTAACTCATCAATCATTCGTCGTCGACGTCGGCGCCGGGCGGGAGGGCACTCGTTCGCGTGGATGTAGACGCGGTCCGTTTGACCGAGTCGGAAGTCGGTGGAAAATAATAAACTGTCGAATAAAAGTTAGGCAGTTATGGCATCATCATGATATCGGAACACACGCCGGGCTTTTGAACTAGTACCCCCCCCCCCTCCTCACCCCTTCGACCGTTTTAAAATTATAAAATTAAAAAAAAACAACTTATTAAAAAAAAAAACCCGCAGCGTAATAACCCACGTGTAATATACAAACAGTCGACACTCGACACTCGGCACTTGTGTGCAAACTATCGAATTAACCGGGAGGACGAAAAAAACAATTTGAATTACCGAGTAATGAAAAAAAAAAAAACTCGTTACAATTATTAAATGTTTCGTCGAATTCGGCAGTATCACAACTATTTATGGCTCTTTTTTTTTTCTATCAAACGTATTGTGTGTTAAACGTCATCGTACCTACGACTACAATAATTCGATGGCTATCGGAAATAATAAGCTGAACGTATGTAATGGCAAATTAAATTATTAACGATAAGATTATCAAAAATACATTTAACGAATACAAATGTTCGAATTGCCGAGCGTTGAACGGATGAAAATTCTAATTGTCGCGTGTTGGCGGCTGTAGTTTTCCCTAAAATGTTACTACGAACTACCGAGTGTACTTAAAAATGCGATGTTTTTATTCGAATTACCGTGAGATTTTTCTAAGGGAACAGGCGTTTACTTCGAATCGCCGAAAATTTGGAATTATCGAAGGTTTAAATTATCGAGGGTCGACTGTTTATAGAAACGCGAATAAACATCATAATTACAACGATATAACCACATGGCTGGGCACGTATCACATAATACACATAACGGTGAGGCTATGTGATAACAGTACAACACAGTTTAACCCGTCATTATGTTTTTCGATTTGATAACGTACGGTCGTATATGCAATAACCTGGTATATTTCAATCGTGGGTATAATATAGTAGACAAAATGTTTAAGTATGCAATTTTAATCGTTTTTTTTTTTTTTTTTGCATATTTTATACTTTGTTTTTATTTATTGTAAGTCGCTGCAGAACACTCAGATTTTTCTTCACTTCTATGAATTTTAAATAATTTACCTTTGTGTTATATTATGCAACGCGTACTTGTTTGTTTTTGTTAGGTATTTTATCTAGATGTCATTTCGGGCATAGCTAGGCATAGGCCAATACCGAGCATAGTTATTAAAACTACAAGTGTAGTTGTAAAAAGATTCAAGAATTCTAATCAAAAAATAAGAAAGTGCTTTATTTTCAAACAAAATTTTTTTTTAAATTAGTTTTTTGGTTTTTTTTTTTAAATTTTCATTCTAACACCTAAAGGGCTTATAATGAGTTTTTAAAATCCATGTTTGCGCTATTAGTCCCGAACTCTGATCATTAGTGACATTCGTCGTGGTAAGCACGTTTTAATAGAAACGGCGGCATCCGGTTTTCGCCTGTTATCAACGCAGAATATTAATACGATATCAGACTGCAGTCTGTTTATTTTTGCGGATATAGAAAAGGTGTAAAGACTTTACAACCGCTCGTCTATAATATCTGGACCGATGATAACAGCTTAATCTACCGTATACGATGAAATAAATTTAAAAAAATGAACACGACACGTTTTTATTTCGCTCGATACTGTACACGGGGGCAAAGGGGGAAGTTATTATTAAAAAACACACGTCGAAATGCCAATTATATACGTACACGGTGCAAAAGTATCGAAATGACGACGTGGTGCTGCGACACGTTGTTTTTTTTTCTTACGATTTTCACCACCCTCCGGACGCCGTTGGGCGGTTTACACGTATTATTATATTATTATGCGTACCTATATATTATATGCATTTAAACACGACCGGCAATCGACCGCGGTAACGACCGGTTCAACCCTTTCTCGCGGGGGCGTGTCCCGAGCACTCCCGCGGGGCTCGTTAATACTACGCGTATAAACACGACCGCGAAACCGTTTTTTGACGATATTTTTCCCAATTCTCCGCGGTGTGTACCGTGTGAATTATTAATTATATTAGAATATTATTGACCAAAAACGGCGTATTCACCTGAGCTTCTTCCACCACGCTGGACAGGGCATTGTGCAGGACCAGCGAGTCTTCCAGGCCGGGGTGCGACTGGACGAGCACGTCGCCCCGTCCGCGGACGCCGCCGACGCCCGAACCGTACTCTCCGCCTCGAGAACGGCCGCTTTCGTACGGGAAAGACGGATGCATGTTACCCTGTAAAACGACACGTATTCATTATTATTGGTATTGCAGAATCAAGTTGAAAAATCATTAATTTTTTTTTTTAATAATACAACTATCAAAACTCGATCAAATAGTGTTATAGTTTTAACGACGAACAATCCGTAAAGAGTGTGATGACTTATTGTTAATTTCCGATTTTCGATAGGTTTTTTTTTTTTTTTTTTTTAAATTTTTCCAAAGTTGATCGTACATACAATATTAGGTACCTATATATTATCATATATCTCAATTCCACTATTAATTAAAGACACTTATTCTAGTAGTTCTCTCCGGACCGAATGAGCTAAAACCTGGTAATAATAGAGTCCTGTTGTTTTACTGGTGGAATGCATATGAATCTAAAAGCGCGTAATTGCGGAAGGAGGGTATTTTCTTTAATCGCTGTTCACTCCTACAAATCTCTTTCCCAATGAAGTTACATTTCGAACATAATATTTTGCGGTAGCGACAAGGAGTAGTGTCTTTCAGAAGTTTCAACAGAAAATAAATACCTGGTTTCAAACACTAAAACTACTCACATTAAGTATAATAACTACAACAAAATGGACATTTTAAAATCTATTCATATTTCGAATGAAATAAACTGATAATAGTATAAAAGTGCTGACATATGAAGAAATCTGCAAAGTTACCTATATGTATTGATTTAATTATTTAGTTTGGTTTTTGAACGAACAGGTATTTTGATTACAACGACGTAAGAAATATTTAACAAAATCATATATTTTTTTACGAGTTTAGTTTCTTCGAGTAATTTCTGACTTATTCAATAAATAAGATGGACGGTTATATTTTGTGCATTTGAAAAACCAATAAGATTTTTACAAAATTCTAGTAGAACCGTACATTCAACCGTTAAAAACTTCAGTGCAGTACACAATTTAGCTAGCCCCACCCCGACGATATGTCGTACTGTGCGTCTACCGCAGCGTCTTGGTTTTATATCATTTTTTTTTTGTACATAATATTATCGTGTATAGTCACGTCGTCGTTACACGAGTATAAAGAAGTCGTGAACAATTTGTTGTTATATGCTCCTCGGACGTCTAAATTACTACTATAGACATCATTCCGGTTTCTTTTTGGTCCACTACTGCACTATATATACACTGCTGCTGCAGTATGTGCAGTTGCATCGATTTGATATTATATGTATTATATACGAGAGTTTTTATTCCATAGCATGATATTAATTAGTTTTTTTTTCCGATTAGGTATTTAATCGAGCGCGCGTTCAATTATGTCACTTTTTTTTTATCGATGTTATATTAATACGTATATTACACGCGTTTGTACCAATATTACGTCGCGGATTTATCGTTCGATAAAAAAAATAATTAAAAAATCGAATAACAAACATTGCGTTTTTTTTTTTTTAAAAATGTTTACACGACGACCGATCGCCGACGGTTTTCTCTTTTTTGAAATTGTTTTTTACTATCACATATTATACAGCGATATATTTACGTCACAAACGATATTACGCGCCTATATAATAATAATAAAACTAAACAACAAACTGGCGCTCGTATACATTATTATTACTATATTGTAGTAAATACGAGGAAAAACATATAATATTATACAGTTTATTGCGTTTATAATGCACACAAGCCCGTAAAAAAAAAAAAAAACCAAAAAAACGCACACAACTGATTTTAAACTGTTGCGACGAGCGAGAGTATACTTATACGTATCGCTATACACTATCGTCGTATTATACGTATTAGGTGTATCGGTGCCGCCGCAGCCGCCGATCATTCGAATTTGATTAATCGTCAGAGTACGGTAGTAATAAGTATATAGTGTAGTATACATACAGTGTGAGTACGTAGAAATTAGTGGCGTTTTTTTTTTTTATTCGGTTTTTTCGGCGGTCGGTTATAATTACGGGTCTTGTAACCAGATATGGGAGAGGTTTTCGATATACATATATATGGGCCGCAGAAGCGCAACTACCAGCACAAAACTCTCGTTAAGGAACGACGACGTCTCTTATAATATACGTTTATTTATATATATTTATACGTACTACGTACGAATAACCTAGATCCGAGAGGTCCCTATGTATAAATGCATAAAAAAAAAAAAAAAAAAAAAAAAACGGAACACCAGTTCCCCCGTCCCCTCCCCGTACATCGACTATAATAATAATTATTGTTATTAGTGCTCCGAACACGGATCCGGTCCTGTTTTGTGTGTGTGTGTTTACTAATATATTATAATATATACCTATAATAGGTATTGAGTATATTATATACCTTTACGAGTTTACCAAGCCTAAATCGGTCGCGGTCTTTTTATTATTATATTCGATATTAATAATACTAAACGACGACGTCCCGATATGACGGCGACGTGGCGTACGGAAGGGCAGAAATAACAGTCCGTGAAAGTTCTTTCGTGATTTTTTTTTCGTTTGTTTGTGTCGGTTCGGTTTTTTTTTTAACTTATAAATCAGGTATAGATGCCGGCTGTATACGTATACGTATTCATTTTTTTCTCCGGTCTTGCCCGTCGCATAGTATGCGAAACCGACCAGTGTCCTGCGCCCGTACGATATCTACAACCGTAAAACAATGGGCCGCACGCTCACGTGCAGTGTCGTCGATGTCGGTGTTTTTGGCTGTTGTTGTGACGAAAGATGCAGCGGCGCACCCCTCCTACCGCCCTCCTCACCCCGTAGAAATTTCTTCGAAAACGTTTCATTTTGAACATTCTATATACAAGTCGTGTGACGTTTATAAAGCGGGCCGCCTTGTTTTTTTTTTTTTTTATTATTATAATGATTATCTAAACGCGGTAGTTAAAACGAGAACGGATTTCGTTTGCGCATGTAGCGCTCGCGTAGTAAATTTAACGCGCAAAACGTTATAATCGCTTATAACATGCGCGACGATTATTTCTAGAAAAATGCACAATTCACATATACGTCTGTTTATATTTTAATAAATTATATTATTTAAGGGAAACGACAGGGGAAAAAAAAAACGGAAAAAATGTCGTATTTCATACGAGAAAACTCGACGACGACTACGACGCGCGGCGGTGTGATTTTTCACGACCAGTTTCTCGGCCGAGTAACATATACTATTATATAAAATACTAGAAACGGTATAATATAATAATAGCATAATAAAAATAACGTGTCGCCGGTACACTCGTATATTATATTATCGTAATATACGCGCGTTCGTATAGCCGTTAATCATCCGGAGAGATATTATAATATCACGCGATGCGTATGGATAAAGATAAAAATCGAGTATAATACCTATACCCTGTATTATACAATATTTATAGGACAATATTTATCGGAGTCGGTATTTATATTGAAGGATAAGAGAGAAAAAAAAAAGAAAAAGAAAAGAAAAATGTGTCGAATAACACCGCGTGTACGATTATCGTGACGCTATGGCACGACGGCGGCGGCGGCGGCGTCGATTAAAGAATATTATAAGGAAAAAGGAAAAAATGATTACGTTTATTTATACACGAAACGGCGGCGGGCGTTCGACCGACGCGTAATCGGCGTAAAAATGTATAGGGTCAGCGGGATAAAAGGTGTTGATTAACATTTTTTTAGAAATTTATTTCGTATCGTTAATCGACGTAATGTATTATGTATATGTATACAGACATTCAACAATAATTCTGTACCTCAGAACCAGGCGAACGTAAGTCCAAAAAATATTATTCAGATTATTTTTTATTTCATTTAACACATGTTTTCCATCGAGCCATGATAACGGAAGTCTGTTAAAAATACGCCTCTCATAATTTTACCAGAGTTATACGAGCGTAAGTCCTGATATATGACAAGAAACTGGCCCCATCTTTTAGTTTTTTTTTTTTTTAAAAAAATAATGTAACTCGTGTTCGTCTGGTTCTGAGGTACACAATTACAAGTTGTAAAAATATGTATACTATAATATTTAATAAATATATGTTAGATAAAAATTTATCTATTGATGAATGAATATATAGATAACTTATGTTTCGAAAAATGACCAGTAGATTTTAATCTATATAAGATAATAGTCAATAGATAATAATATTTGTATCGAGATAAGTCTCAACGCTGCCAATTTGTATGCGATAAACCAGTAACTTCTTAAATCCTTGTAACTTGGCTGTATTTTGACGTTGCATTTTTAATTTCCCCGTCAACCCGTCAATTTTAAGTTTGATGTTTTGTGGATCGGGTAATAATCGAGTGGAGCACTCGTTCAAACGACGTGTATTGCGCCGCCACACGTAAATTATATGTTCCGCTGTTCTTCGGTTATCCACAAACCGTCAAACTTAGACGTTGAATATCCCGTCGGCGGAAATTAAATATTTCAACATCAACATTTGTTTAAACTGAAAATGTTCAATAAAAAAAGGCTAGTTGAAAACCGAAAAAGGGGTAGCGGTTTCACCGCCGGAAATAAGGGCGACAAAAAAAAAAAAAACGACGGTAAAACAATGACATTTTACATCGTAACCGTGCTTGTTTTCTTTAATTTTCAACGACTTCGAGAAAAATAACACAACAATAACAATAAATACTTTCCGGTATTATAATGCGAGCGTTTTGCGTCGTGTCAATCGTCTTGCGCATTTATACGGCAATGTTTTTACGGAATACGAGCGTTATAAAATAACATTTCAATTTCGGAACGATTAAAAGCGTATAAAATGCGCGCGCGTGCGTGAAAGTCGACCGCGCGAGTTTCTCGTATTTCGGAAATGAATTCCGCCGCCGCCGCCGCTTTCGAACCCCTCGAATTATTAAATATTTGGGCCTGACCGGTCGCCCGGAGAATTTTCGTAAAACAATGCGTACACCGAGCACACGTCTGCTATAATATCATACGTATATACATAATAACAACGCAACATCTCGTATCGAAAATAACGCAATTATTATTGTACGATATAAACATAATAACAACAGCGTTGCAATATCGTTGCGTGTGTTTATCGCTGCCCCCTCACCCGCCCCTCCTCCCCGCACGCTCACCGGCGCACGGGTAATATTATTACAGTATGGTTTACTTCGGGGGCCCGGGGCGGGACGGGGAAATTTGACGTATTATATGATATTAAAACGTCTTGTGTCGCGTATAAAAATTCGAATTTTCCCGCATTCCGCGAAATCTCGTCCGAAATTAAAATAACAATATCGCTCAATAACACGACGGCGGCGGCGGCGGCGGGCCCGTCGATAACAATAACGATGTTTTATATTAATACCGTAAAAATCGTTTTCGTGTAATAATAATTTTATAATGTACCCGTAACATCGCCTTCGTCTTCGTCGCCGTCGTCGGGCGCAACATAATTAAAACGTTCGGAATGCGGACGTGCGTCGGAATTCCCGGCGCAGAGAATGTGTGCCTCCGCCGCCCCGTGTTTTACAATATTATTATTAATACGCGTACAGTCTTAAAAACGATCCGCCCTGGCGAGGGGTTGAACGCGGCCGAAAACGGACGGCGGGGTTTCCGCGTGCGTATGTGCGTTACGGCCGTCGCACCGCGATATTAAATTTACGCTGCGCCAGAGTTCGCGTCGCGTTATGCTATTCACGTGTTAACAGTAGCCGCGCGCGTCGAAATCCGCAACAAGAGAGATTCGTTGAGAAACATCCCGAGAAATTCGAAAAATGACCACTCTAAAGTGCCATTCCGACGGGAAATGCTTTTGGAAAAGTTAATATCAATGTGGGCCGGAGCAAGAGTTGTCCGCGGAAAAAAACAAATTGAAAAATAAACACCTTTGTAAGACCCTCGAGCTCCTTCGATCCACTCAGAACCTAAAACTACACCCGGACAATAATGGCTGTAGTCGATTTACACCGCGACAAATTGACGCGAATTGTATTATGTACGAGATGACGCGTAATTTTCCCGCGGACGTGTTTTCGAAATCGAGTATTACCCCACGAGAATGTTAAGCGATTCGCGACGTTGAGATAATATCACGAGGAGCTAACGGCAGAATATTCCATTTCAGATTAACGGATTCACTATTTCGGATTAAGTATTGACATTTTTTTTTATTTTTAGGAGGGATTTTCGTATTGGGTAACTTAATAAACAACAATACCCGCTACACATTCAATTTCGTCGTTCGTATTTTCCTTGTTTTTTATATAGTTGGGGAAGGGGTGAAACCACTACAACGTTTTGATTTGAAAAACCGCCACACCATAATAATAAACATACTTTCAACGGCGAACCACTAATACAAATTATGTTGCAGGTTTTACGCGATGCTTTTTTTTTTACTGACAGAATTTTTCTACCGGAAATCTTATTCAGATTATCGACATTAGAACGTATAGTTTTTGCGGTAGCAAATTATGTGAAGCTGTCGGTGCATCGCGGTGGTAATTTTTCGATTTTTCTCGGTGATTTTCCTAATAATGGGAGGGAAGGGGGAGGGGGGGTGTTATAATCGACTTTGTTTCGCTGTAATTCATTTTCGTACATAGTTATGGTGACCTTATCCGAACGTCGGCTGTTAATCTCGGGGTAATGTGTTTTTGCTGATCGACGGTACCAACAATAAATGATAATATCGTGTTCTCGTGTACGACACTGCGCATTTATTCCTCGCCGTCATCCGCGGGGAACAATATAATGTAAATAATTGCAGTTTTTTTTTTTTTTCTAATTCGATTCTATAGGCCGAACGTCCGCGCTTTCTAAGACTTTCGTGTTGACGAAAATCCCGTCGACACGCGTAATTAGAAAAAAAAAATAAAAATGAATATACCGACCGACCGACCGTCCGACCGGCAGCGGCTATACATATAATGCGTACACGCATATTTTTAATACAATAGCGACGCCCACTTTTCACGACGAAAGCGGTCGAATCGATTTCCTCGGGCCCCATTAACGGGGCTGCTGCCGCTGTTATATCGATACACGAATGTGCCCGGTGTATCGGATATCTCCGTGTGCCGCACATACGCGTGTGTATTATTATTAATTACCGGGGGGCGGCGGGTCTTTCGGTCTCTCTCCCTCTCACTCATTCTCTCTCTCTCTCACACACACACACACACATACACACATACACACACACACATACACACACGCGCGCTGTCTGTCTCTCGTTAAAAATGAAATACACACCTATCCGGACGATTTCACGAGAGCGCGCGTATACCGCGGCGCACGTTTTAATTAACTCCCGTCCGCGGTTACGTGCTCGCGCGCGCACGGATATACCGCGGCGGACAATGGATACCGTGTCGTCTTCGTCGCGCGCGCGTATCAATAACTTTTAACAACGATAACGACGCGCGTAATGTTGTCCGTCGTCTCGGCGGCCGGTCCGCGGGCCCCGGAACCGTACGCGCCGCGGCACAGTCCGCCGCGGATAAACGGCGCACCGTCGTTCAACTGTCTCATCTCGGCGGCTTATTACCGCCGCGGCAGCACCGACGCCGGGACGGTTTTCCCCGCGGCCTCCGCGCGCCGATAATCGCCTTTCGTACGCGCGCCGCACACTTTTCGCAGACGAGTATGGTCCGGGTTTGCGTTGCGCGTCGCGGCTGCGCGCGTAACGCACCGCGCCGGTTGTCGTTCGGCCGTAAGCGGCGATTGTCGGCGTTCAACGCGCGGTGCGTAATTCGTCACGGCGCGGCCTGCAGGGACGTCACGCAATAAGAACAGTAATCGAAAGTCGCGGTAAAAATCAATTCCCCGCCGCGCGGTCAACACAAAACCTGAATCCGTCTATAGAGTGTTTAAAATGCGTACTTTCGTGGCCGGCTGTTTAAGATTTCGGGCGGGTCAAACGAATCGTCGTTTCCGCGCTGTGAGTCGATTGCGATTCTATCGTTACCGCGATCAAAAAAACAATGAAAGAACCGCCACCGAGAACCGAGAGAAAAATCGTTCGGGACCGGACGTGAACCGGTGACGATGTTTGTCGGGAACCCATAATTGTTCCGAATAACACGCGACCGTTTGTACTCTACTTCCTTTTCTACCGACAAACATCCAAACACACTTCGCCAGTTGCCACTTTTCGCTTGCTCTCTCTTGTATTTGTTGTCGAAATACGAATTCGTCGAACTACGACGCGTGCTTTTTTTTCTGGTAACCGATTTTCCGACCGGTAAACAACTAACTTGCTCTACGGTTGGTCAACCTGAGAGTCGATTTCAGCTATTTTCGGTACATATTTCTCGCAATCGAACAAGAGGTCTGTTTGCGATTTTCCTTGTAGCTGTCTAACAATGAGGAGAGGGGGGGGAAATATTTACGCAATAACGGTTTCTGTCGATTTAGACTTTGTTTTCTCGTCGTAATCCCGGTGAAAAATAGCCGCAGAGACCAGAAAGTTTCATCGGATATTATCCGCATTAACGCTCGTTCGGGGCGGTGCGATTTTCACAAATATACTGACGTTTTCGAGCTATTATCAGATGAACAACCGCGTTTCGACAACAGTACCGCAGTACCGTACACTGATCGCGCGGTTATAGCACATACGGACACCGGATCGCTAAAAAAAAAAAAAATAAAAAACCGGTCCCACACGCGTAATATTACAATAATATTGTACTTATATTATGCGCGGGGCACGGCACGAGATTGTACGGTTTCGACACGACCGGCTTACGACCCCGCGGACCCCGACGACCCGGCGTGCGATTCGACAAATACGACAGACATTATGTCCACCGTGCTGTAGCACAATAATAATAAACAGGCAAGAGTATACGTCAAAAAACCGCGCGATCCGATTAATCGTTGTCGCCGACAGTAACGTATACGTGCACGGGTACGTTCGTCGGGTCAAACGGGGCGATCGCAAACGGAATTCGCGAGTTTTATACATATTATTAACTGTAACTGTACGTATTATAATTTTATTACATTATTTCTTTGCGTTTTCGGCAGCCCAACTACGAACCTTTTATTTATCGTACATTTTCAATTCAAACATGCCGTTTTCATTCCCGTGTTCCCGGGAAGCTTCCCGACGGGCGCCTATATCTGACTGAACGCGAACGGTTGGTCCCCGGGAAGGTCGAAAACCGTTGCGACGCGAGTTCTCTTGCCCCGGCACTGATTCGAGCAGAAAATGGGGGGTAGGGTGTGAACGCTCGCGCTCGGCGGACACGCAAACTGGACTGCGCGTGCCGAGTCACGGGCAATACGACTGGATTTGTATTACGCTCGGAAAATTCGATCCGGCCCATTAAAGCGGCCCGGGGGACAATACGACTCACGCACACAGTGCGGTATTCTCGGTTTCGCCGGCTACGCTACCGTACCGTCGAAACGGCTGGCTTTTTTTTTCTTCTCAAGTCCTTTTACGGGTCAAAGTCGCGATCACGGGGGGCCCGGTCGGTCGGGTCACGCGGACGCGCTCGGCGGGGCGACATTATTATTACTGTTGTTGCGCGCCGGAGACGAGATAATAAAAATGAATTTCCCGGCAGTCGGAGAGATTACGCGGTTTTATAAATACATAAATAATGTAACACGGCGCGGCGATTCCGGGGCGCGGTCTGCGACGGGGCGCCCCCCCGCCACGGCGCGTGGCGTGCTCGGAGTCGTTTTTATCGGGCGGCTCGGGCAATATTATAATACCATACGCGGTATACGCGGTATACGCGGTATACGCGTACCGCGCTGTGGGGCGGGGGTCAGGCCGGTGGCGGCCAATACCGCCGGGCGAGTCCGTAAACGCTGCGGCGGAGGGAAAAAACCGGCGGAAAACAGAGAGGAAAAGAAAAAAAAAAACCGACCACGTAAAATACACGACCGTGCGGGCAATAGTTACCATTATTATTATTATTATTATTACGATTATCGTTGAACGCGTTTCCGCGTGCGAATAATTTACGTCGTCGCGCGCGGTACACGCGACACCGGGCGCGCGCGTGCGGCGTATACGGCGTGTATACCTCGTACGCCGGCCGTTATTATACCATTACCGTGACCGGGCCGCGATTCGCCGCGGTATTTGATACACGCGATTACGCGAGGAAAAAACCGTCGTCGGGCGAATAAGAGAAAAAAAAAAACGTTCGCCGAAAAGACGCGGGCGCGTGCGAATCCGCGCGACGACAACGGGCGAACGAAAAAAAAAAAAAAAAAACGGGCCCGCGTGAACTGAGCACCGTCACCGGCGGACGGACAAATAATTTTCCGTTCACTTTATATATACATATGTATATACATATATATATATATGAATTCAACTATGTATACTATTAATATAGTTTCGGGGAAAAAAAACCGGGTAAATTTGAACATGACAAATAGTAGGACACTCCTCCCCCTCACGAAGGCAGTGCGTACACGAAATCGCATCTGTCTACAAAAGCTATTCGTTTGGACGTGGGAGTGTTCAACAAGGCCTTTGCGGAAACAACCCGCGTAAAGGTCGATTATTATTATTATTATTTATTATTATAATTATAATAATGTCACGCGTAAATCGTCGTGTACCGGATACGGGATCGTGACAAATTTTCGGCGGCGGCCGCGAGGTTAGGTCGCGCGAATCAATTTTTTATCCGGGCCGCGGGGTCACGACGTTTTCGGCGCGCTCCGCAACGCCGCCGCTGCAGTCTTGTCGTAACATTATTATTGTTATTATTATCGTTTTCGAGCGCGTGATCGATCGGTCCGGTAAATCGATAAACGATAAACGGCGCGACAGCACAAATAACAATAACGATATATTATTATTGCTGTTATTATTATTACTGTCGTTATCGCGGGCGGCCGCGCGATTCCGACGCGATAGTCGTCGGCCGTTTTGTCCGCGGCGCGCGCCTCCCACGTTCCGAACCGCCGGGCCGCAGCAATAACGCGCCGCGCGTACGACACGAAATATTATCGTAACAATATTATCGCGCGTGTACGTTTGGATCGCGTGAACGCGCGTCCGATTTCGCCGTCCGCGCGCGCGGTTGACGCCGCGCTATTGTCGTTCGTCGTCGCTGTTGCCGTTACTAAACGAGAGCGTACGCGCACGTTCGATTCGCCTACGCGGCCGCCGGCTGATAGATCGGAAGCGAGCCGCCCGCCGTGGCCGCGCCGCCGCCGCGCTTACGACGGCAAGACACGACGCGTTCGTTCCGGCGGCGTCGCCGTCGCCGCGTAATTTACGTACGTTTCGCACGTGCGTACGCGTACAACGCACACGTGTACGGCGTACAGTGCGCGCCGCGCGTACACCGTCCGTATTACGCCGATAACGTTAACGTCGTCGTCCGCGAGAATCCGACCGCGCCGAAAACAATGGCCGCGGCGGCGGTTTGATGGAATTTTCGACGGAAACCGTTGACCTCCGCGCGCACATAACGATAATAACGACAATGATAGTAATATAGCGTAATTGACGGGCGCTTTGCCCGCCGACTGTCGAACCCGCGCCGGACGTGGCCGCGAGTACTGCCGGCACATTCGCGACGAAACGTTTCGGAAACCGTGTGAACGTACGTAACAACATTACCGTAGCGCAAAAGAGTACGCGCGGTACTCTCTCGGTCGACGGCGGCGTCTGTTATTTGCTCGGGGGGGGGGGGAACAGGTGCCGGGCGCGCAGAGATCCGAACGCCGCGTCCGGCCGAGGAGTTCGCGCTCCGCGAGCGAGAAACCGCGGTCGGGTACACGTGGGCGGGCAAGTACCGGGGACCTACGATACGACGGTGTCCGTATCGAGATGCGCGGTCGATCCTCGGCGATACGCTGCGGTTTTCTACACAGGAAATTATAGTTAATTATTTTTATTCGGATTTTTTTCTTATTCGGAAATTTCGCGAAACAATAGCAGCCGTTACCGTCTTCAGCTTTGAAGGCGAAATCATTTTCTTCGCTTTCGATTCTCGGTTTAACTACGCGCGTTTCCGGCGTCGACATATTCTAAATTCCCGTCGACCCTCTGACGAGATATTACACTGATAAGTACGGGTAGGGGATGAGCAGCGGCACATCATTAATGTGGCAGCGCGGGGCCGGTATTCTTCCCCTACACCCGAATTTAAAAGCGTAATATATCTCGTCAGAGGGCCGACGGAAATTTCAAAAATTTTAACAAAAAAATAATAAATTTAAATTAATAATGATCCGCGTCTATCGATTATGCAATATAGGTTACTGTTTGAAAACCGAAAATGACGAGTGGTTTCACAATCCCGAAAATAGGGGCGACATTGCGGTAATGCGACGTTTTAAAGCCGCTCGTTTTTTTTTTTTTTAACTATCCACTTATTATTCTAATATCCTATACAGTTGTGTTGGGAGGGAGGATAATAGAGGTCATATTCTCCTCGTTGGTTTAAAAATACAATCAAATATGAGTGATCTAATATCGAAACGCATAAATTTCAGCCAAGTTACGAGGAAAAGCTTGACGTATATATCGATTAGAAATTGGCTTTTTTTTTTTTTTAGAATCCGGTCTCTAAATTACCTACCGATTCCCACAGTCAGGTATAGAAGACGATTTTACTCTTTATTCCCGATTCGTATTTGTCGTACATCCCTTCACGTTGAAAATCCCCGGGTACGCCCCACTACATAATATCCCATTTACTATCTACTTTTGAAAACTACGGTCTACATTATAATAATATTATATTGTTGCGTTTAAGCTCACCACGTGTATGGAATCGGAGTCGGAACGCCGGAGGGCATCGTGCCGCTGGCCCACGGACACGGCGGCCACGGTCAGCTGATTGTAGTGGTGCGCGGCCGCGGCGGCCTGGGCGCTCTGGTGCAGGCTGTTGAGCGTCTGCGAATACGGATCGTTGATGTAGTCCATGGCGGACGGCGAGGACGCGTTGCCGGTGGCCGGCTGATGGTGATGGTGGGCCGGTGGGAACGGCGGCGGGAAGTACGGCGGCTGGAAGTCCTGGTGGTGACCCATGTTGGAGCCGGCGTTGGTGGGCGTCGTGTTCCGGTGATGGTGATGGTGGTGATGGTGGTGCGGGCTGAACGGCGACGAACCACCGCCGCCACCTCCGCCACCGCCACCGCCTCCTCCTCCACCCCCGCCGCCACCACTACCGCCGCCCCCGCCGCCACCGATCGACGCGACTGTACCATGCCCGGCTAGCCGATCCTGCGGAACGAAAAAACATCAACGTGATTAATAACACGACAATTGTACACGAATATAGCAAAACTTGTCGGTGTTGTTGGTGGGTAGTGGGGAACGTACACGTACAATACGTGTACGGGATAGTTATTAATTTATATCGACGACGGACCATTGGTAACGTAAAGCGATTCTGAGCAGAGCTCGATGTTTTGATATAGACTTAAATCGGAAACTGTATTAATTTTTATAAATAATAAATCACGATTATATGTCTGTCCGCGTTTTTCCGCCTCGAATTCCGAGCATATTTATGGAACCAAAAGAGTTTTATTCGCATAAATCGGAAAACGGTAGCGCGCGAAATTCCGTGGTTATTACGATGTCCGTCGTTAAAATTCCTTTGCGACCGGAAACCTGTCGCGGAATTCGACGATCGGCGCAAGACGATATCACATTTTACGTTCAAATTTTACTAAATACTTAATCTAGCGATACCCGCGGAGATTAAAACCGACGTGCTATGCGCTCAGATTCTAAACATATCCGAAAAAAAAAAAAAAACAGCGGATTTGTGTCCGCGACCGGATTTTACATATGAACGCGATACGCTTAATATTATAATTAGTGGGTCGTTTATAAAAAAAAAAAAAAAAAAACTACTCGCGTTTTTTTTTCATTCGATCTCGTATAATAAACACACATGAAAATAAAAACAACTTTAAATCAACGCTCACGCGTCGTGTCGTGTTTTCGATCCGTAAAAAACTTAAAATGTATATCGATAAAAACCCGTTCTTGAAATTGTTATTTTAATCGTGTTTTTTTTTCTCTTCTAATATATATTTCTTACGATCTGGATTCCGTGCGAATATCCACCACCGGATTTGATTTCCGTAGCGATTTACATATTATCGTATGTTAAAGTGAAATTATTACTAGCGTGCGCGTTTCTCATATTTACCTATATACCATCGAACGGTGACGCGAAACATGTCGGCCGTTTATGGATTCAAGTGACTATTTTTTTTTTTAAAAAAAAATCCGTGGTACCGTATTTTTAATCCGATTCCGAAACATTTAGCGCGCGCGATAAAACTCAAAGCGTCGTAAACGGGAACGCCGGTTTTCTACACCGGGTACGAATAGCGTTATTTTCATTTCGACCACTACACCGTTTATCCGTGTCGAAACACCGACCGAGATACGACAGTCGCGTATCTTAAAAAAAAAAACACGATTTTTATCGGCGAAAAACGTATTAAAAACCCGCGCCATTCGCGCGTACGGTTCCCGATTACAACTAATTGTCCCCGTGTCAAACGTAGTGTACACTGTCTCCTTTACGTATTTAAAGCAACGCGTGTTTTTTTGAAAAACCTATTTTCGTTCGCGATCGAATTCTTTTAGCGGCGGCGACGTTATTGAAATAAATTGTAAAAAACAAAAACCTCTCCTCCCCGTTCGGTCCGCGTCCGGAGTTTGCGACGGTCGCGCAAGACGCAAGACAACGTTCAACGCGCTACGCGTACGCGAACAAGTAACAAGAGTCGCACGTGGATTTCGTCCGTACCGCTAGTCCGGACGAGGCGACCGCGGCCGCCGGTTCGGGCGAATTACGCGCGGGACCGTCCGCGCACGGGGCGTATCGTATATGTGAATCGTGCACAATGTATGATCGCGCGCGCGCGCGTACGAAGCTAAGCGAAATCGGTCGAAAAACCAGACGAATGTACAATAATAACAATAACGCCTAGTTTTAGAAAAAAAAAAAAAATAAAAAAAAAAATACGAACGTGTCGGAAACCCGTTGTCCGGCGGTGCGGTCGCGCGCGCCGCGGCCGGTTAATAACCGAGCGAGTTCGCGGTAATAATAATATTAACATAACGTACGCGGCGCGCGTCGTTATAATACATTATCGCAACGTGGGCACGGTATCCGTCACAATATTATTATAACGATAATAACGATATTACGGTGCATGTAGGTCGGCGGCGCGCGCGATCGTACGGCCCGGGCCGAAATCGCGTTGTAGCGGAGGAGAAAAAAAAAAAAATAACGAAAATCCGTTCGCGCGCGCGTTCGGCCGGTAGGTCGGGCGGGCGACCCGGAGCCGAACGGCGCGCCGCCACGTCCGTACGACACCAAACTGCTGTTACGTTGTCGCGGGCGAATGGGCGCGCGTTGTTTTTCGAGATCCGAACGCGGAGATACCGGACGGACGTGCATAACGGATAGCCGCTCGTAAAATAAATCGTCGTGTCGCGTAGCGAGTATCGCGCGGTGAGCGTATGACGGGGAGGTGGGGGGGGGGGGGTGGTTGGCGCACGCACGAACGCGATCGAATAATTGTTGCGCGCGACGTCGATTGATTAGCGTCGATACGGCGTCGCGACGCGGATACATAGCGCGCGCGCGCGTTGATCGATTGATAGCGACGCGATGTTCTGTTTGTTTGTGACGTTGCCGGTCACGCGCGCGGAAAAATACGCGAAAACGCGTCCGAAACAAAACGGGATGCGGACGCGCAACTTGTTCAACGGTTGTCGGTGTGAAGTCGCGGAGGCAGCCGGGCGCAGATGGGAATTCGAATGGTACCCGCCGCGCGACCACGGAGAACGGCCCGAAGCCATGTGTACACCCGTCGGGGTGTGCGCATCTCGCACGTAGATTTCCCGTTTTTCCCGGTTATCGCGAGTGCTGCGCGGAAAACGAACAGCGCGCGTCTCATCGACGCGCTGACCCGGTCAGATTTCTATTCGGGAAGGGCTCGACTCGACTCGACTCGAAAATCGGAGCGAAACAACGAAATACGGTGCCGATGAACGCGCGGCTTTCGTTCGTTTCTCGGGAATTCTCGGCCGCATTTCCGCGCTGAGGGGGCGCATTATACATTGCAAGTCGGACGGCAGTAAACACGTCGCCTCCCCTCCCCGCGGCGGTCGCGCGCGATTTCCACGTGAATCTCGGCGACGAACGCGCGAATAAAATTTAAAAATATAAAAACGACACGAAACACGGTGCATAACCGCGCATTGCAACAACGCCCACAATGGAAAATCCGCGATCTATAATTCTACACACTACGCAGCCGCTCACCGTGCCGTGTGTCGCGTAAACGGTGTTATTAACCGGCCGATCACGCGCGGCCTTCGAGATCGAGTATTATTATCGCGGCGCGATGGGGGAAAAAAAAAAGAAATCGTAAAAAATACGTCAAATAATACGGAAATTCTTGTTCGTCTTAACCGTCGTCGTCGGTTCGAAATACGCTCGTAGCGCGCGACGGTACCGCGGATTCGATCGCCTACCTGTGGTGTAACAAATTAATAACACAAGATATTTATATACATATATACTCGGCGGATTTCGACGTAAAAAAAAAAAAAAAAAAAGAAAAAAAAATTATCACGTAAAAACAAATCGAAAAATATCCCGCGCATCCCGTTTCTCGGTCCGCGTTGTTATCACAACAACATGAATTATCGCGTTGTCGTTTAGCCGGTATTCGCTAAAAAATAAAAAATAGTAAACGCACAATTTAGTAATACCCATCATATAATATAAAACATTTTTTTTTTTTTTTTTTGTAAACGCGCCCGTACAATAACTATCGTGCACGAACGATTATTCGCTCCGACATTATACTAAGCTAACGGTGACGAAACCGGCGCCGGCGAGTCCGGATTTACGGTTACGACACGTTTGGGCATTTTTATCCCGAATCGCGACACGTTTGGGCAAAATATCGCAACACGGTCGGGCACTATTGTTTATATGTACTCTACGCGTTTGGATGGTAAATAAATGTATGAAATATAAGTGTATGTACGTTCAACAATAACCGCACGCGGGCATTTCTATCGACAATAAACATCATAGCGGACTGCGATAAAACGCGTGATCGCAGACTTATGATGTACGCGAAATATCGAAAATCCGTCGGTAATTTCCGAAGTTATACACAAATAGTATAATAAAATATGACGTCCTTATTTTTGTTTTGTTTTTTTTTTTGTTTCGCACCGTATGTCAACAATCCGGTCCGCAGTTGCTTGTCGAGTGTCGAGACGCAGCGCGCAGTGTGTGCCGAGTACACAGAACGCGGTTACGGCTTGTGCAAAAAAAAAAAAGAGGACGCGATTATACATTATTGTTACGCGTACATTATTCGATTTGATACGAGTGCAAAACTCACGTATTTCACGTAACTGGGTAACCTTTTGTCATCGTTATGATTATTGTGCGTATTCGATTTAACACGAGAACACGAGTTATTTTACGCATATATACATGTTTATATATTATTGTCGTGTGAGACTGATACACTCCTTAAACCAAGAGCCGTATGCGTTTGGACATTTTTAATGTCCAAACGTTGCGGGGATTTTCGATGCCGAACGAGGGGTAAAAGCGTGTCCAAAACGCACGTGCCCGCGCCGGAATTTACGCTGCGCGGTCGGCACCCGAAACCCGGGTACCCGTGCACACGCGCATACCGTCGAAGAACAACGGGGGGGGGGTAGGGGTGAGTAAAGCGCGGGGCATACACACGAAAATGAACGTCTCCGGGCGCGCCGGCCGTATCGGCCGCGGTACGGATCGCGCGTCCTCCTCCTACGCGTGCACGCAACGGTGATTATCGAAAATATTAATAAATTCGTGCCTATTAATTTTAGCGGAATACGTTTTGATCGCGCGTACGGTTTTGCCCGTCGCGATAAAAAAAAAAAAAAAAAAAACCGCGCGCGCGCCGGTGCGTCACCGTGTACCGACGGTAATAATTAACCGCGCGCGGACACATTTTTCATCGTGAAACTCCCGCGGCCGCGACCGAATCGCCCGGACCCGGCGGAACACACACGCTATTTACGTCGTCGTGCGCACCGCACCTACCATACCGAAAAACGTTGCCGTTTCCCATCGCGTACGCGCGTACGACGCGGACGAACCCGTGCACTTGTACACGTAGTGTTTTTCGTGAGTTTTTTTTTTTTCTTCTTCTTCTTTTAAATTTATATTTTTTAATTATACGGGAAGCACTCGTATACGTGTACGTATACATATAAAGCCGCCGCGCCGACAATCGGAAGACGGATTGTATCGTAGGAGGAGAGAAAAAAAACGATTTACCGTACGGTTATAGTAATTTTTAAAACGCTTGTCCGGGGCGCTGCAGTATAATCGCATAATATGTTCAAGCGACGGGAACGGGAACGCCGGCTCTGCGACCGTGCAACAGTTCCCGGTTTCTATTATACGATTTCGAACGAATTAACGATAACCCGGTGTGATTACATATTGTACAATGCTGGTGCGCGGAAACCTTAATCAATTGAACATCCGAATTTGCAAGAAAAATATGTCTTAAATCGTACTTATAATTCGGTACTTTTTTTTTTTTTTAATTTTTTTTTTTAATATTGTCCGTAGTATGAACTTATATACCATTATAATGTAAAACTAATCTACACAAAGTCGATTTCTAACGGTTAAGGACCGCGAAAATGTGTGTGCCGATGTCCGTTACAGATTTGTAATTCCTACGCCGATATACGCCCAATACGCCCGATACAATCCGGAATCGTTTGAAATCAACGAGTACCTCGTACCCGGTTATTTTCGCGTCGTGCCACCAAATTCCCCCCTACCACCGAACCCCCNACCCCCCCCCCGGTCTATAATAGGTACTCTTGTACTCGAAAACCGCGATCGTTTCGTCCGGTACAAAACACACCGGCCATTATTCATGACGTGCCGGCACGTGCGCTCAGACGACCGACCGACGCGACGACGCACAGGAGATGATCAATTTTCGGTTATCCGCGATAATCACGCGTCATTATCAATACGCGATATTATCGTGCACGCGTCTGCGGGCAGATCGCGTGCGGCGCGCGACGGGCGGGTCTCGCCGGAAAGCGTAAAAAATGAATGAAGCTAATGAAAACAAAAAAAAACGACGCACGATGTGAATCAACGCGGAACCGCCCCGTGCGCGCACGTCCGAGCGGAAAAACGCGGCGCGGCGGACGAAACGGCCGTCCGGCGTGTCGGCGGGAGACGCGCGACGACGACAACGGCACACCCGTGCGGCCGCGTAACGTATGCGCCGCCGAACGGTCGCTGGTTTCGTCGCGTCCGAGTCTGCGGCTGCGGCGAGACAGTCCGAATGAACCGTTAGGGCCGCGCGCCGGGGGAACGGCGACGCGAAAATTCCTGAACGCCGCGCTGAAAAACGAGACGGGTCCGTCCGGTATTCGGAGGCGGCGTAGAAACGGTGCGCGCGGCGGGTAAACGACGACGACGACGCCGCCGCCGCCGCCGCCACTTAAGGAATGAAAGGCAGAAAGAAAAAAAAATCGAATCGAATTTAAGTGACCCGCTACTGCCGCAGGTAGCGGTTACTGTGCGCCGTGTGTTACCTATATGAATAGTACACGCGCGGATCAGTCGCGCCGAAACGTCTTTACGACGTACCCGGCATAACGGGTGGGCCGGCGAGATGGGGGCGGGGTTAACGAAAAAAAAAAAACGCACGCCGCCGCCGCCCGCCGCGTCAGACCCTTTTAGAGGTGGACAGAACCCGTCGGACCAAATGGACCGTCTTTTAAACGCGTTCTCGACCGGCCGACGGTTCCGAACGCTACAGTACGGCTGCGGACTCGTAATAATAATTATTATTGTTGTTGTGCATTAGACAAATTATATACGTCGGACGACCGGTTTCCCCGTCGTCGTCGTCGTCGTCGTAGTCGTCGTCTCCCCCGGCCGAGTGTTCCCGTGCAGTTGTTGCGCCGGAGATGAGGCCGGTGATGAATCGGTAATTTTTTCCGCCGTACTGCCGGCGATAACTGCGCGCGCAGCAATAATACGAGCGGAAGGAAAAACGATTTTTGCGACGTAAGTGTACACGCACGCGTACACGGGCACGACGGGCGCCCGAGCGGACGGGTTGCCGGAGAGGAGTGGGGGCGGGGGAGAGGTCGGCTTTTGCCGAAAACGCGGGCGGGCGCGAATAGGAAAAAAAAAAAGAACAATACCCGATTTATTCGCGGGGACAACGTTATTTCCGATCGCCCCTTCCGTTTGTCGAGTCGGTGTTTTTTGCCTTTTTTTCTCTACGGAAAATACAATTTTTTACACGGTCGTGTTGTAATCGCGCGCGGTCCGGCGCGCACCGTGAACGAGAACGTAACACGGTAGTAAGTACGTGTGCACGCGTAATATTGTAATATTATAATGGGCTCGGGGTGTATCCGGAGTCCGTGTCCGCCGTCATATTATTATAATAATGATAACAATTAACGGGGCCGTTTATCGCGCGCGGTGCGTTTAGAATGGTATTACGAGCGCTGCAGTGGCCTCGGGCCGATCGATTTTTTTTTTTCAAATATTTTTACACGATTGGTTTTATTATTATACGTATAGATTTGTACGTACGCGCGCTCAGGTGGTCCGCGGCCCGCGGTTTTTCGCCCATTTCCATATTTATACGATCGCGTTATTACGCGCGCGCGCGAGAGAGAGAGAGAGAGAGAGAGAGAGAGAAAAACGTATTGGACGCACCGATCGGAACGCGAGATTACACCGGCGATCGATACACGAAAACCGTAATGTTATTCCAACGTGTACAAGACGCAATCATTATCGTATTCTATCGCCGCGGCGGCGGCGGGAACGCGAAGACGTTTAGAGTTGTACCTCGCCGTTTATAATAAACCGCGCGCGCATAATAATGTAATAATATGTGTGTATAGATAACGCAATATGATATTTTACCCGTGTTGTAACGTTGCATAGTAGGTTGCCACATTATAACGGAAAGCGGTCGCCGCGACGTCAATACGTCGGAAACGATCGGACGCGACGACGAGTGAGATTGCGGCGGCGGCGGCGTAACGCGCCCGGGTGCCCGCGGTCCGTATGTAATGCACGGAGGACGAGCGCGCCCGTGTTACCGTAGCGCGTGCCCGCCGCGCGACATTACGCGAATCCGTTAACGGCAGAGTGGACGGTTTGACGTTCCGGAGACGGAAAACTGCGGGCGATCACGCGAAAGTCGCACGCGCGTCGGCGATCGGGCGCGCTGTTTGTTTGTTTTTTTTTTTTTTAATACAATTTTCACAGGACCATCGGGAAAATCCACCGGTACACCGGTTGCAGAAAACTGTTATGGTTCCGAACACGATTTTATCGTTCAGTCCAGAGATATTCCGTTCCACGACGAGGTTTCGTCTCCGAAAATGTCGGTTTTGAAAGAAAAAACGCGCGCGATATTGCGATGCGCTCGCGGCTAATGGCGCCGACGCTCACCGTCAAATATTCATAATCTTGCTGCGGCGATCCGCGACGAGTCGACTCGGACTCGGATACGCGGTTAACACAATAGTTTTTAATAAAACGTATCGCGACATCCCGTGAAAAACGTAGAAAAAACGAATTCACGGTGGAAAAGTACGTAACAGATGTAATGCGGTTCGAGTATGATACGTGCGAGACTTGCGTTAAACTCACTACACCGCGAGACCGGAACACACAGTAAAATGTAAAAATTGTGGCGTTTAGGGTGCGGATTCGAGTTTAAACACGGGCGATGAAAATATATATAAAGAGGAGAATATTTTCGACGGCACGTGCGACGTCGGCCGCGTAAAGCCCGGTTTCCACTTGTCGTGATTTTTATCCGAGACCACATCCGTGCGTCAATGATACGAATTCTGACGTTGTAGTGTACATTGTCATTGTCGGTGTCAGAGTACATATTTTATATTATTACATGTTAGTATTGAAAATTGATCCAGACGTGGCGGACGCCGTTCTTTCAGTTTGTGGACTTTTAGCTAATGCGTATAAACAACAAATTTTGCCAAGTAAAAAGAAAAAAAAAAAGAAAATGTCGGGTTCGGCAATGGGTTTCTAAACGAAATAAGTTTGGTGCGTCGAATATGTTATTACAAGAGTTGAAAACTGATGATCGAAACGGTTTCAAAAACTTTTTGAAAATGGACGACGGGCACTTTAATTATCTTTTAAGTAAAATAGAAAAAATATATACAAATACACAATACTTTTCTAGGCTAGGCACTTCCGGCTAGCACAAAACTAGAAATCGCTTTTGAAAATAACTGCAGTTATTTTCGGATGGAATTTCGTACGAGAAAGTCGATACATGTCCGTGGCACCACGGATCCGATAACTTGACTCGTACGAGATAACCAGCACGGACGCGGCCGCGTATACACAATCAAATAATTATCCGTGCCACAGATCCGAGACACACGGACGTGGTCTCGGATATAAAATACATGACAAGTGGAAACCCGGCTCGAAACACGGTAATCATACAAGTCCGCGGCCGCTTAAAAACCAAACGCGTGGCTTTTTTCTATGATCATAAATGCCGTAGCGGATTTTTTCGGCCGCACGTAAACCGTGTCCGCGAAAATATGTCCATTCTCCTATTTACGTTTTCGTTTCGGCTCCCGACAATGTCGAACCTAAACGCGCGTGCGATGTTGACGTTACGCCGTGTCGCCGTCTCAGACACCCGAGGGGAAATACCTACTGTTGTTAAACCGCGACACCGCGGTAAGTACATTCTTCAGGTGGAATAAAAAAAAACCGTCCGGAACCGTATCCGACGGCCGCGAAATTACCACGGTTACGATAAAAATATATACCTGCAGATAGGTGACCGCGCTGTCGTTTTGATCCGGACGCGCCGCGGTCGTGACCTAGTGCTCGGGGGCCTGACGTTAAAAGGCATTAACCGCTCGCGCGCGCGGTACGCCGGCGGATTCGCGTCCGTTTACGAGGTTGTAAAAAAAAAAAAAAAACCGGGGGAAAAAACCCGAAGAAAAAGAAAAGAGAGAGAGAAAAAAAAGGGCACTCGAGAGTGCAGGTCGTTGATGGCGACTCTTTGCATTTCATTATGGTTTTACGCGCGTCACCCCGGCGGCAACCGGTTCCGCGTATAGCAGCCTGCGCTTTTTACGGTGAGAACGGTACGATAATAATACGAATGGGTAACAATAATATAATATAACGAGGAGAGACTTTTTTTTTTTTTTTTTTTTTGACATTCTTCGCGCGTAGATATGCTAATGGCTCGACGGCGCAATAAATCCGACGCACGGCGAATTAACACCTTATACACACAGACATTTTATAGACACTCGTTCGATCAAAATAATATACAATATTGTGTAAACACGAACGGCGGAACTACGACGATTGTTTTCGAATCCTTATCGCTTGTCCGCCGCGGCGAGAGAGTCTTCGCGGCGTGTTCGCGACGTCCCGATGTCGTATAGTCACCGTTCGTAAAAAGCGAACGCCATCAATATTTGCGTTGCGTACGTTTTCTAAATTTTCGTAACGTTCTCCCTCCGTTTGAAACGAGGAATAACACTCGTTAGTATACGCGCCGTCTCCCGCGGAGATTTTTTAAATTTGATTAAAAAAAAAAAAAAAATCGATTCAAAAATAAATATTCGTGTTCCTCGTCCCCTGTATGAAATAATAATAATAATAATAATAATAAAAAAAACCGACAAATAGCCGGGGATACCGCACTTTACGTTTGCGGATACGTGGCCACTGCTATATGCAGACGGGAAGTCGGCGGCGGCGGATTTAAACGCATTGCCGTTGCGGTGTAAGTTCGTAAGTTACAATCTTCGTCGTGATTCGGCGAGTCGACGTACCCGCGAAACGAACGGTGTTTGGTTTTTTTTTTCCGGACTTCCGAATAAAATACCCACCGCCGAGCGGGGCGCGACGGGCGGAAAATCAGAATGTCGTTTTTGCTTTGTTACAACCGGAATAGCGTCGAGGCATGGAACGAAAAAAAAAACACAAATCGCACGTCGATTGTAAAATATCGCGGCGTCGTCGTTTTCTTAACGGGATCGATCCAACGCGATCGACGACGCGACCGCGGAATTCACGGCCGGTAGCCCGTGGCACCGGATTCCCGAGGCCACGACCGGCCCCCGCGCCGCGGCAGTCGAATGCGGCGGTGGCGGCGGCAAATACGTCGACGTTAAAAATATTATTGTCCGTCACTAATTCCGCGTCGGGTTTTTTTTTTTCTCTCCGCTCCTAAAAATTCACGACGTACGCGCCGTTACAGCTGTCGGTGACGAACGTCTGCGTAATCCGCGATATCGCCCGCGCGTCGATACAATCGGCAAAAAATCCGCGCGCGTCCGTTCGTACGTATCCGTGAAACGATACGAGCAAAAAACAAACAAAAAAAAACCGTTTTACACGCCGGCAATTACCGACACCGTACGGGCAATACTACTACTGCGCGTGTGTACGGTTTCGCGCAACTCCGAATCGCTCGTTTCCGTTTATTAGTCGCGCGAACGATTTTTCTACCGAAAATCCCGTTCCGATCGTCGATACCGCGGGGGGAGGGGGGGCGGTCTCCGCGGAAGAAAACGTCCGAAAAAGAAGCGTTTTTTTTCTTCTATTACTCCCCCCTCCACCCCGGTAATTTTCCGGATAGTTGTTAGTAGACGGAGTCGACTGTGTATTAGCTAGCCTTTCTTTCTTTCTTTTTTTACACAATTCCTTTGTCATAATCTACATGATAACACGTCCGTACTGTAATATACGATAATCGTTGGGCCGCGCGCCGCTTTCGCTTAATCGCGGCGGCGCAATTCGGTTTTGTCGCAACGTTTTACCCATCCGGATAATTATCGGGTTGGTTATTTTTCCCGCACATTCGAGACCGTGTACGATTTTCTGACGTTAATCGCGACGCGCCGAACATGTGCGGAAGAGACGTGAGCGACCGGTCACCGAAGTACCGACTTTTTCCCGTGCAGCTGTCAGTGCGCAATATAATACGCACACACGTGTTTAACGGCGTTTCTCGACCTTTCGGATCGCGGGCTCGATTTCGTGGTGGTTGGGTGGGGGGGGGTTTGAGAGAAAGAAAAGACGATAAGAACTTTGCCGCTTTATCCGGACGACGCGACGCTACAAAACGAAACGCGAAATCGAATTCGGCCGCCGCCGTCGCGTAACTGACACACGCGCGTGTCAATGGGCGCGGGCGACGCAGCCCCGTTCGATTTCGGAGAAAAGGTCGCGTGTAAAATCGGGTCGGCGTCGCGTGGAATATCACGCGAACACTTATTTCGGTGCGCACGCGCCGGGTGCGGTCTAGCGGCCGCGTTTACAGCGTCCGCGCGGTAAATGTGGGGAGGGGGGGGGAGGGCAAGTAAGCGCGCAGCGAGTAAGTGCGATGAACATTATTGCGGCGCGGCGATTGTGACTGCCGGTGGACACGTCGCGGTCCGGATCCGCGTTGTTTTCATCCCGTCCGGTACGCGTCCCGACGACGCGGGGCGCGCGCACGAGAATTTCCGAACCGTGTTTGGGACGCCGATTCGCGGACGGTAAACCGCGAAACCGCATTTACTCGTTATCACGTTAATGACGGTGGCGAGAACGCCGGAAGCGGCCGCGGGTCCGCGAGACGGTCGGATTTTCATCGGAACACGATTCTCACAAAACCGAGCCGGGCGTGTTTCCGAAGCGTTTTCAAAACCGCGAGACGGGGAGATGTAATAAAAAAAAAAAATAAAAAAAATGTAAAATTCGGCATCCAGTGCGGCAATAACGTTGCCGGACGGTTTTCAACGTACCAAACGAATGTTATAAAATCGCGCGTCGCGCGGGTGTTTTATTTTTATTTTTAAAAAATTTCAATAAATACAACAACGTTAGCCGTTTACGACCGCGTGAGCGTTGAACCGGATAACGTACAGGCCGCGCGTACTTTGCGATCGACGGAAAAGCGACGGAATATAAACGACGGCGAACCGCACGTACGCTGACCGAGGACGGCCGCCCGAATGTCTGAAATCCGCGCGGTTTTCGCCGGTCCCCGCGACGGGCGGACAATTTTTTTGTTTCTCGCTCTCGCGATTCGCCGACGGCGTTCGAGAAGCTATTCGCCTGTGCGTACGCACGCCGTCCCGAGCGTTTTCGCGAAACAATAATAACGCGGGTCGTCGTACGGGCACGCGCGACCGCCGCGATTTGTCCGCTTCGCGCAGGAATCGATTTATCACCGCCGGCCGCCGCTCCGCCAGAACACACGATGCGTACTAATATCGTCGTGCGCGAGTACGTACGACACGCGGCGACGATAATCTTTGGACGGGCTCCAGAGGATACAATATTATTATAATAACGATATCGTACGCTTGGCGGCGACGCGACCGCGGATATTATAAATTTCAGAAACGCCGCGCGGCACTTGACGGATGACACGCGCCCGAGGTATAGGGTATCCCGGTCGAACACTGTTGTACACCAACACGATACCGTTGCAGTGCGCGCGATACGGACGGCTGTACGCCCGGGCCGCGGAAACGTGCCGGCGGCGATTGGGTCGCGTCCCGACTCCCGGGTCGTCCGCGGCCGCGCGGGCGAGGGCAGTGGATACCGGCCGGTATCCGCGCGGTTTTAACGGGCATAACGTTTTACCGACGCCATTCCCGACGCCGGACCGGCAAACGAGCGACGGGCTGTTGGGATTCGGTTGGGTTACGGACCGATTTCCGGATCCGTCGGCCGTACGACATCACGGCGAAACGGTCGGGGGGGGGGAAAACAACAAAAAATTACAATAATAAAAAACGAACCGATTAGGATTCACCGCGCCGGGCTCTCGTTTCCATCGCACAGCGACGCGTGACGATTCGAAAACGCGGCCCCGCCGACAGGTGTGCGTATTAATGTCTCGCGAACGATTCAAATCGGTTTTCCGATGACACCCGTAATCGTTTTTACTACACTACGTCGGAGGGGTGAACAAATCCGTCTGATTATCGACCACGGATACCGCGAGGTATTTTCCGTCGTCTTCTGACGCGCGCCGCGGCCGCGGTGTTTCGAACGGGCCCCGTGTGCCACGCACAATTATAACGGAAACGCGTTCCGGCACGCGAAAAGCCTTTGGAAATCGCCGGTTTCGCGTGATAAAACGTGTGTAATGTATTGTAAAATCCAACCGGAACTCCGAAGACGCCGTTGGCGTTTCGTACACGTTTATTGATAATAATAATAATAATAAAAAAAAAAAAAAATAGTCGTTAAGTAAAAGCACGGAATACGTTTTTATCGTATCGCGTATTTTCTACCCACCGTGAAAATTTCACTAGACAATCGCAAAACGCCGCCGACTACGAGCTTAATGTCTTTGAAACGCCGCGGTCTATATACAATTATCGCACATCCGTGTAACACGCGTCTGTAAAACCGATTTGAAAACGGCCGTTTTCGCCATTACGCCCTAATAATAATAAAAAAAAAAAAAAAAAACGGCCGGGCAGACCCGTCGCGCCGGAAATTTTCGAACAGACCGTACCGATTGACAATATTACTACGAGAAATTACCCCGACGCGTTCCCGTGCACGTTTTCGTGTTTTCCCGCGGACGTTCGCGACGAACCACCCCGAACGAGACCCGCGTGAAGAAGCGCGCACGGAGTTTGACGGTTATTATTTTTTCAGATTTAGAATATTTCGCATTTGGTTTACGCGTACGGAAACCGTTTTCGGATCGCAGTGAAATCGCGACCAGCTCGCGCAGGCATTCTAATCTGCGGCGATTTTGCGACCGCGTAGACGTCGAAAGGTCGATTTTTTTTTCAGCGTCATTATAACTGCGCGGTTTTTTTTAAAAAAATCGTTTAACTCGTTTTCAGACGTTTTAAGCATAATGACTGTTCGGGCTCGGTGTCGAGTTGGATTGTTTTTTTTTTTTTTATACAACACGAATGGGAATTGTTGTTAAAATGGACCGCGGCAGTTCGACGCGTTCGACCGGTACGGCGGTTTTGCGTCGCGGCACCTGCACGCCGTCTCGTCCGTATGAAATGATTATCGAGTTGATATCACGCGAACGCGGGCGAAACGGATTTTCGGCCGGTAACGTCGTCGGTGTTGTAGGCTCGGTGTACGCGCGGGTTTTAACGGAATTCGGCCAAGTCGCGGGTGACGTACAAACAATTATTGCCCGAGTGGCAATAAAAATCCCCGAATCGCCCAAAATCCCGGCTGTTCGGACGGGCGAAATTACGAGGCCCCCCGACAAGCCACCACCACCCCCCCACCACCCTCGGAACGGCCGCCGTCTCAATTACGGTTAGCGCGCGGGATTTTATTTCCGCGACCGCCTGCCCGACACGCTTCGTTTTCGAAAAATGGTCGGGGGCCCGGGGAGGCGATCATTCGCGTGCGCGCCGTAATTGACATTACTGTCGGCGAAAAACCGCGGGCTGCACCCCGTTACGCGATGCGCGGTCACCTACCTCCATAAAATTGTTCATGTCATACTGGCACACCGCCAGCTTCGTTGCTGCGCGTCACTTTTCAGCGCACTTTATGCGAATAACCGAAACGGTTTGTCGCGCGCACCACCGACGGAACCGTCACCGCGACGACACGTGTGCACTACCGCGGCGACACCACAAACGACGACGATACGACACCGCCGGCACGGGATTATTATATTATTTCGCGTACACTCGCGACGGCACTGCGGGCGCGGCGGACGGCATCGGGGGCTAAGGGGGGACTCTGGACGGATGTGTTTCGTCGAACGATAAACGCGAAAAGTGAGAAGACGGAAAAAAAAAAAATAATAATAATAATATACAAACACGACGCGATAAAAATCCAAAACAAAATCGATATTTCGCGAACGTCCGTCGGGCGGCAAAACAAAATTTTTAATATTATCAATAACCGATCGAAGTAAAACGGAAAAACAAAAAAAATTACGCGACGTTCGGTTATTTTTGTATATTCTTTTTTCTAATCCGCGTTGTCGGGGGGCGCGTGTGCTCGTGTCCGGCGGGCCGCGTGACGACTGCCGGTGATGCCGGCGTGTGCTACCTAAACGGGAGCGCGGCGGCGGCGGCGGCGTGTCGGTGCGTGCAACAACCGTTGGGCAGGCCTCGGTCGCGTTGGTGGGGCCTCGGGTCCACCTAGCGCGTATCCGGGGTCCCACCTTCCGGGCCCGGCGGAAAATCGCCCCGCGCACGCGCAACCCGACCGCGGCGGTACGCACGTCTGTACGACATTAACGCCCGTTCGCACCGCCGCCGCGATAATGCACTCGACGGAGTATACCGTCCCCCCCGCGAACACGTACGCGTGCACGCGCGTAATTCGATTTCGAATTCGCCCCGACTTTCCCCCTCCCCCCATCCCCCGGATCGGAGGTTACGCGTTAAAATGCGTCCGTATAAATTATCCAATAACAATTGTAATAATAGTATAATTTCGTATACGATAATTTTCGGATTTCGAACGGTTAAATACTTACACGGAATGGCATGCTGGCCGGGTCAGGTAAGGTTTTAAATTAAAACTCCCGGATTTCGTAGACGACTCCCGAATTTTTCGGATTTTCCGGGTTCTAAGGCGTAGGCGGTCGACGGAGGTCTCGCGCCCGACTTAACCTCTTAATCTGCGTCTATACACGCGTCGCGGATTCAAGCGAAATTTGTCGCACCGACAAAAACCAATTAAACTTACCGCGAGTGAAACTCGTGACTTATTATTTTTTAGTTGGTCATTGTTATATTTTAGCCTGGGGTGGTCGAACTCTTTTCGGTAGAAATCTGCCAAGAACATATTTTTCCTCTCGGGATCGGCTTCCTAACGAAAATGCGCAATTGTAAATCGCCTAATAGGTATTAATAAAAAAAAAAAACACGCGTGTACAAAATAATAAAATTTATAGTTAAATAATGTGTTTTTCGTCACACCGTTATTAGGAATATAATAATATACATACGGGTAGTATTATTGTAAACACAATTGCCCGCGGGCATAAACTCTGTCGAATCGTAGGTGTTACTTGATAAATTTACAACAGAATAAAGATAAATATTAAAAAGTAACAAAGATGATACATTAAAAAAACGATCGTCAATCGTTATTTATCCGTAACAATTACATAAAAACAAATTCCAACAGAACGGAGATCGACATTAAAGCCATCCGACCCCACTCGGCCGCCCCCTGTTACAATAGTATCGGTTCCTACGAGTTAGTTTGCTTTCCGTAGGCCGTTGTCGCGGTCGTGTGAACGTTGTCGCGCATTTAGAAAAAAAAAAAGAAAACGTAATATTTTTTTTTTTTTGTACCGGACAAATGTGTCCGGGCGTTGTGAAACCGTGCGTGTTCAATTAACTCGAGAGTGAACGTAATGCCCGCGATTCTTTGGCCAACCGACGCCGCCACTGAAAACCTGCAATACCAATCATCGAGCGTTCAAAAATATTATCAGACCCGCGCGCGTTCGACTCCGGGTGACCCAAAGCGACGGAAATCCATAACGCGCGTATCTGCCGTCGTCGTGGTACGAAACACGACCGGGTAAAACGCTCGGACCTTCCCCCCAATACCGTCCACGGTTATTATTGCCATTAAAAAACGGGTACGCACGCAACTCTTCAGTTAATTTGACGTCGAAAAAAAAACGTTTTCGGCGATTCACTTTACCTTATAACGGACGATTTTTTTTTTTTTTTTTTTTTTTACTAGAAAAAGTGCGTCGGGAATTCAGGCACTTAAATGTTTTAAAAATTACAGGTTTTTTTTTTTTTGTTTTCAAGATACGCATTACCGCGTGAAATATTTTTCTGAAAAAAAAAAACAAACGTGTTAAGATGACGAGAATTTCGCGAACACGTCCGAATACACTGTCGCGTCGATGTGTAATCCAATATTACGACGCCCGGTTTTTATGAAAAAAAAATCGTAATATATCAGATATCACAAATATAATTCACCGGACGTTTGAAACTGTTAAAACGAAAAGAAAAGGGCGAAAATAGTGATGCATACGAATGAAAATTATTCCCAATATACGATTCGATTTCGTTCATTAGTCGCATTAAAAATAAAAAAACCCACACATTTTATACGCGCCGGCGGGTTGTTTTTTTTTTTTTTTTTTTCAATTCGAGATTTACTTATCGAGTGTATTCTGTACAGTAAACGTAATGTACCCGTGTAGAAAGTATAGGTATTTTCAACGTTTCCGAAGTCGCGTTCCGCGTATCGATTTCGATTTTTTTTTTTTTTTTTTGATTTTTTTCCGTAAAAAAATCCGCGCGTTCCCGTGACGTTTTCACAATTGATTGAATCGTAACGTGACGCCTTTTAATACGCGCATTATTTCGTATCGTATACAAAACAGGTTTTCGGTATCGGTCCAGAAACGTTACGACACGACGGGTTAACGTTGTGTACGTACACGTCGGCTGCAAATCTCGTTAAGAGTCGAGTCGGGTCTTCGTTTATTTTATTTTATTTTTTTTTTCTCGTTTTGTTTACCTTATCGCGTCTGCGCGTACCGCATAACATAGCGTATCGGGAGACGGAAAAAAAAAGTATTGATTTTCAATCACGTTTTCCGAAATAATATTATTACAATATACAGGTACACACACACACACACACACATTGTATTACGTACATTGCATTTCTTTTTTTTTGCAACGATACATTTCTAATAGAAAAAAAAAAAAAACCATCTAAATACTCGGGCAACTGCAGCGGGGCGATGCACAATAACGACAATTATATGTGTATATTGATTTCAAACGGACGGTTTTAATTTCGATCGTTTTTTTTTTTTTTTTTTTTTTTCATTCCGCGTTTTACGGGCCCGTTTCACCGACGACGGCGGTTATTGAAAACCCGGTTCGGAGTTTAAACACCGATTCGAGTCCGTATATTTACAAATAATCGACCGACTTCGACCTCGATTCCGTAGTAAGTCCACACATTTCGGCGAGTCACGCGGGACTATACCGGAGACGATCGGCAATTCGATCATCGGCCGCGGTTGTTCGTTTTAATGTCGACAACGACAATCGATATTATTGCATATTATTATGTCCACTGCGTTTGAATAGCGTCAGATGATGACCAGAGTTCAATTGAAATATCGAGTTAAACCAAGACCGGGAAAATTCGAAAATTCAACGTGTTTACGTGTACCGAGTCGTTCGATAAGCTCGCGACGAGTATAATTATTGTATAGAAAATAAATGATTTCTGTTGCAATCGACGGAATTTGTTTATTTTTTTTTTTATAATTCGATAGTTCGAATGTCAAAAAAAAAAAACCACGGGCGGTACTACGGAGGAAGCAGAGTATAATATGCAGCTGCTTGTCCTGCAGATCTCGCTCCCCTAAAATATGTATGCGTCTTATTACGTATTCACAGGCGTACACACGGTCACATATACAAGGTTTAAAATATCAAAAATCCGTAGGTAGTCGTGTTTTTTTTTTTTACTATATAAACGCTTAAAGCCAAGGACGTTTTGCATAAAGAAGTACTACTTTTTGATACATGCGAATTCAATTTGTTGTAGCTTCGTTAAAAGTGATCGAAAATCGGGTACAATATACAATATAGACTGTACAAGAAGTAACTGCAATACGAATCGAAAAAATGACCGGATCCTCAACTGCACCACCAACTAACCGAAATTTGCTACAAAAAAGCTCTCTTGTCGTTTTTCAATCGGAACAATAATATTTCTGGTGGAAATCCGGCTCACAGACAGAAAATAAAATACCGTCATAGTTATACATAACCAATATGCATAAAATCTATATTATCATATCGTTACGTTCAGATAATCTAAAACAACTAATTCGAGTACAGTTTTCCGTAGATAATATTGTTGAGAAACCGATTTTTTATTTGTTCGGAATAAATAATTGGTATACAAATTATATATACTAAATATTTGCATAAAAGGTCAATTCGGTTTCTAATTTAAAATGCATAATACTAATGTATACGGTATGCATAATATTCGTATGCACAATTAGTTCTTGATTTTAACGTCGAATTAAAATAAACGATCAAATAGTCGGTTAAAAATGCAGTTATCGTCTAAAGTCGATTAAATATTCTCTCGGGAGTCTATAATAGTATAGAATAATAATTAATTTTACACGGCCATTCGCACTCTTGTTGTACACAATCATTTTAACGCTTTCTCGCGTACGAGTCAAAAGAAAAGAATATAAATGCGATTATATTATAAACACGAGAAAACGTGCTAAAACGAAATTAACCGTACGCGTACGTATATATGTATGTATAACATTATTATTACAGGTGTATTCAATCGGATTCGAATATCATCAGCGAGGGCCGAGGGGCTCGATGAAACAGTAAAATCTAAGTGTGATCCGCATTATTCGATTAAACTGTACAGGTATACGAAACGCGAGAATGTAGGTTTTTAGACGCAAAACAAAACAAACAAAAAAAAAACCTATCGGTTTCTAATTTCTAATATAATACAATACACGCGCCGCGGAAGTTTCGGGACGGTCCGATTGCAATAACACGCGAGTCCGCCATGTTTTTTTAGCCCGAAAATTCGATACGAGGTGCGCCAAAGAAGAGTGTTGCAACTGTAGTGGCGAGCAATTCGATTTTCATAAGCGTTTTATGTTCAAAGTTTCAATATTCACGAAACTCGTAAAAATTAGGGTGGAAATCATAGCTGAAAAATAATGTACACTGTATGTACGGGCGACTTGTAGAACCGAGCACATTAGTTGCGTCCGTAAAAAACGTATACGCGAATTCCGCCCGTCCATATTGGTAAGGTAGTACACAACGTTTTTTGGTTTTCAGAGAATCTCCGTGATGTACTTATAGGGTAGGGGGGTTGTGGGCTGGAATATTATAGTGCGACATAAGCAGGTTGTTTCACGGTGATTTGGCACATTCGAGTGCTATTGAAATTAAAAACGAAATGAAAATAAAAGGCCGGAAATTAGTAAAAGAGCTTGTCGAAA